ATTCCCAGAAGAGGCTCCAAAGGCATAGGAATTTTGTAGAGACTGGGATTTCCATTGCCAACTGTCCAGTTGTGCCAGGTTCTGTGAGTCCCTCTTAGCTTTTTTTTGTGTGTGTGTGTGTGTGGTGCTGGGGATTGAACCCAGGGTCTTGTGTATACGAGGCAAGCACTCTACTAATTGGGCTATATCCTCAACCCCCTGTCTTAGCCATTTTCAAAGTTCCTTCTCCTTCTCCTTTGAAAATTACAAATCTAAGTTCTCTTAACTTTTAGATTCTCTACCCCCTCCATCTTTTTCCATTTTTTGTTCCCCAGCTTCAAAGACATCTTTTTAACTTTACAGACAGGTTATCTTAAGACAGCTTTTGCTTTAGGCTATACAATCCAGCCCTCTCCATCCTGAGGCAATAAACACAGAGAATTCCTTGGCTAATAATTTAGGCCAGAAAAATACATTTCTCAATAAAGTATCTACCCACACAGGTAAAAATACATTTATATTTTAAACATTGCTGGTGGGATTGCAAATTGGAGCAACTACTATGAAAAGCAGTATGGAGATTCCTCAGAAAACCTGGAATGGAACCACCCTTTGACCCAATTATCCCACTCCAGGGTTTATACTCAAAGGACTTAAAATCAGCATACTACAGTGATGCAGCCACGTCAATGTTTATAGCAGCTCAATTTGTAATAGCTAAACTATGGAACCAACCTAGGTGTCCCTCAAGAGATGAATGGATAAAGAAAATGTGGTGTGTGTGTGTGTGTGTGTGTGTGTGTTTTAATGGAATATTACTCAGCTTTAAAGAAAAATGAAGTTATGGCATTTGCTGGTAAATGGATGGAGTTGGAGAATATCATGCTAATTGAAATAAGCCAATCCAAAACAAAAACAAAAAAGAAGGCTCAAAGTTTTCTCTATTATGTGGATACTAATTCACAATAAGGGATCGAGGCACTAGGGAAGAATAGAGTTACCTTAGATTAAGTAGAGGGGAATGAAAAAAAGGGAGGGGATATAGGGATAGGATGAATAGTACATTGAAATAGACTATTTATTACTATATATATATATATATATATATATATATATATATATATATATATATATATAACCGCATGAGCAATGTGATTCTACAACATGTACAATCAGAAAAAATGGGAAATTACACCACATCTATGTATGATATATCAAAGTGCATAAATGCGTTCTACTGTAATATATAATTAAAACAAAAAATTTTTAAAATATAAAACACCAATATGAATGAAATAGTATTAAGTTGGTAGATACACATTTAATTATTGAATCACTTTATTCTTTTCGGTTCCCCAAACATTTCTTTTTGTGGTAAGAACTTCAATTATTTTAAACTTCTATAAGAGATATACCGCTTGATTTTTAAAATACAATTATACTCTTAAAGCCATTTGAACTGCAAAACTACATTAAATTATCTTATGTTAATTCAGTCATTATGCTCATTCTTATTTAAAAGTAACACTCTAAAAACCTCAAAATAAAATATATCTTGAAGCCATGGAAGGAAGAAAACCTCTAATTTCAAAAAATAATCCCCCTTTTAACTATTACTTTTTGTGACAGAAAAATCAAACCATAATTTTAGGTCAATTTATTCCACATTTACTATATGCATGCTTTCCCTCACCATTTCTTTCTTTCTTTTTTTTTTTTATTTTTTGGCCTTCAGGAGCATTCCCTCACCATTTCTTAAGATGTCTTATGACTCAAACTTTTTTAATGTTATGTACAAATGTACAAAAGCACAGTTGATCATTTAAATGACACAAGTATTTTTTTCTTGTTTAATTTATAGGAAACTTAATTGCTAGCCTGGCTCATTCTAGAGCTGGTATTCCAGAAGCATTTACTACATTAGGAACGATCCATCAACTCTGCTACCATTTGTACTCAGGAAGAGAAGAGGTAAAACAAAACAAAACAAACAAACAAACAAATACCACCCCCCCCAACTAATTATAAAACTAAATATGCAAAAATAAAATAATTTGCTCCTCTCACTTTATTCTCCTCAGTTATATAATAAATATAGTTCATGTTACTAACTCAAAACTAGGTGAACTTTCTAGTACTAATTAGTCATATCTACCCTCCACAAAATTATACATTTGTTTTAACTCCAAGACTTAAATAGGATTTTAATTACAAACAGTATAATATAACAACAACAATTAAAAATTTAAAAAGAAATACCTGTTCAAATTTGTAATTAAAATGTTTATAGCCGGGTGTGGTGGCGCATGCCTGTCATCCGGCTCAGGAGGCTGAGGCAGGAGGATCAAAAGTTCAAAGCCAGCCTCAGCAATGGCAAGGTACTAAGCAACTCAGTGAGACCCTGTCTGTAAATAAAATACAAAATAGGGCTGGGGATATGGCTCAGTGGTTGAGTTCAATCCTCAGTACCCACCCCCCAAAAGTTTATCAAGTATCTCACAAAAAGTGGTTACCTTGTGATCTAAGACATTTCTCTGATTTGGAATGAATGAAAATGGAACCCAAAGGAGATTTCCTTATGTGCTAAACAGGGTTAGAGGTGAGAAGATGTGAAAGAGTCCATGCTGGATGTAGCAGTGGATTGCCTCTGAGCGTGTGCCTACTGTTTTCCCCTAAGATCTAAAGTATTTCTCTAACTTTTAGGTGTATTAGAATCACCTGTGGGCCTGTAATTCCATAGACTGTTAGGCTCTACTCCCTAAATTCTTGATCAAATATATCTGAGATGGGTCCCAAACTTTGCATGTCTAATAAGTTCCTAGCAACTGAAGATGCTGGTCCAAAAACCACACACTGAAAACAGAACAAAAAGGAGTAGAAGATATGTGGGCATTTATATAGAGCAGCTTGATGCCAATGTGAAGACCAATAATGCCAACTTTCTGGTACCCCTAATAGGCCCATTTTATATTAATTTTATGAAAATTTATAAAATATTTTATGCTACCAACTATTTAATTCCCTACTAACTCCCCAAGAATACATTTTAATTATCATATAAAAACCTAATTATTTCAGAGTCAAGGCAAAGGCTACTTCATTTAAAGTAAGGAAACTACTTCTTTTAGAGCTTGGTGGCCTAATACTTGTGCTTCCTTCTTTGTTCTTGTGAATGTAAAACTGTTTCCCTGAGTGGACATTTTTAGCCTATTTTCCTGGTTTCCGATGACAACCACCTGAGCAGTTTTGAAAAATCCTGAAGTGGGACTCAAAGTTACCCAGGTAAAGCTAACTATAGCACTGAGTTATTTTAAGAACAGCCTTTGGCTAATAAAGAATTGTTTCTTATTTATTTAGGTTCGCACAGCTTGCTCCTGTGCTCTTGGCTACTTAACTTACAATGCAAATGCTTTTCGCATCCTATTAAATGAATGCAGGAATAAACCTAATCAGTTCCTTCGTATAACAAATAATATCAGCAGAGATGCAAGTATTAACCCAGTATTTTTAAAGGAATTTCAAATGAAACAAATGGTGGGACTTCCTTCTTTAAGGTATTGTGTCTATATTTGAAGTTGCAGTAGTAAAACTGATAGATTTTATTAAGTTTATCAACCACAGGGAAATAGCCTCATATGAATATATCCTCTGTATGCTGAAGGATAAACTTCATTCTAAAGGTCCATTGCCAAAGCCTGATTTATTTACTTAGTTATTTATAATAGCACTGGAGATTGAATCCAGGGTCTTGTGCATGGTAGGCAAGTCCTTTACCACTGAGCTATATCCCTCACCCTATTTACTTATTTTTGACAGAGTCTTACTATTTTGCCCAGTCTGAACTGGGCAACTCCTAAACTCAGGGATCTACCTACCTCAGCCTCCCAAGCAGTTGGAATTAGAGATGCAAGTCACTACTTGCAGCTCAAAGCCTGTTTTAATTCCAGCTTAGTATTAGAGTCATGGGTACAGATAAGAATATCACCAGACCCTAGGGACCTTGAGTAGCCAGGAAATTTTACATTTTAGATAAGTTTTTGGGACACTAGTCAACTCCATGTCTGATCAAAGCCATTTAATTTTTTTTTTTTTAGTTGTAGATGGACACAATACCTTTATTTTATTTATTTATTTTTTGTGGTGTTGGGGTTGAACCCAGTGCCTCAAGCATGCTAGGCAAGCACTCTACTACTAAGCCACAACCCCAGCCCTCAAAGCCATTTTTTGATCAGACTAGAGAGAGATTTGAGAGTTCTGAGCCACACAAGACTAATACCATGGCCTTAGCTTCAAGCAGATCTTCTGAACTTGGCCAAAGCTAGTTTAAACTCCCAGGTTAGAAATGGAGTGATCAGATCCAGTAGCTGGAGTTATGATAAAGCTTACCAGGCATTTATTCAGAAAATTCTGTCTCAGTGTTGTAGTTTCATTATGAACTTAAGCCTCTGAAAAAGCATGAGAAAGAATCTCTTTACTATGGGTATGTTTTCTTTTCTGGAGATGTAGTTGAATTTTGAGTCTTTTCTACAAGTAGTCATATTCACATACAGGAAATATAACTACTCAATATATAGTATTAACTCTGTGATACAGAGAATAGAATTCAATAGTGTATTATGGTTATATACATCAATTTTAAGTATATAGAAAAATGAGTACATCTTCAGAGTCATTTTAATTCTTTGAAAAAGTGAACATCTGCTGGGCATGGTGTTACACAACTGTAATCCCAGAAACTTGGGAGGCTGAGGCAGGAGGATTACAAGATCACAGCCAGCCCCATCAATTTAGCAAGGCCCTAAGCAACTTAGTCCTGTCGTAAAATAAACAAATAAATAAAAAGGGCTATAAATGTGGCTCAGTGGTTAAACACCCCTGGGTTCGCTCCCTGGCACCAAACAAACAAACAAACAAATAAATAATAAAAAACCTGAAAATCCAACACTTATTGCCTAATTTTATATAATAAACCAGAATATCTAAATTTTCATTGCTATAAATAACAATGTTAAACATTTCCATTGATTCAAAAATTTAATTTAATTTAGGATAAACAGTGTAAGTAGTATTTTCAGTCATTCCCCCAGTTAACCTAAATAACAACTTTGTGGAATAGGAAAAATACAACCCTTTCTTGGATCTGTTTTCTTCAAAATCCAGTTGCAGTGTCTCTTCTTCCCATTACTTCATGCAGATTAAATGACTCAGTTGTTTGAAGTGTGTAAATTAGTGACAGAATACAAAATACCTATAGGTAATATGCATAATTTTATGTATGTTAATCAACATATATGAAAAATAGGCCATTAGTCATTGAACATAATATATGGAATAAATCTTCATATATTTCTTCATGTTTTTCGGGTTACACTAATGTCTTCATTTATTTTATTATCTGATTAAAATTTTTCCCTTTTTAGTCTGGAGAGGAATGGAGGACCATCCATAATTCCTGTCTTTAAAAAAGGTAATTAATTATTTTTTATTTTATTTCTGAGATACCTTCTAGCCCTGGCATTTTATAATTCTGTCCATCCCTCCCTAAAAATCTGAAATGCAGAGACAACCAAAAAAAAAAAAGGTATCTGTAAACTTCTCTTTTGTAATTCTATATACCTAAAACACCTTTTTAATTTATAAGCCCATGTTAATCATTTCTTTTAAGGACTTCCGTAATATCTCTTGCCAGAAATTCCTCTCTGTTTTTTTCCACAAGCTAAACATAAAGAAAATTCATTATTTAAACAACATGTATGTATGGTTTAAATAATGATCTTGCCATTGTTATACTTCATGTACAGTGTATCTGTCTATAAATTTTTAGAGCAGAGACATGTTTCCTATTGATACACTATTTGTTTTGTATATAGTTGGTAGATGACAGTTGAGGGCTTGGGTCTGAGGAAATAAGAGTCTAGATCTTATATTACTTCTTTCAATTAGACATTTAACAGGTAATATAAATTACTTGGTAGTTTCATGTATATGCTTGTTCATGACTGCTTAATGTAGGACCAAAGTCAATATTACTTAATATATGTCCTAGTCCTATAGTTGTTATCAAGAATAGAATCATTCAGAAGTGAAGATCAGTTTTCTGGAGTCAGAAAAAAAAGGAGAGAAGAGAATAGGGAGAGATAATGAAGAGAGGAGGAACTTCATTTATTCAGGGAGTATGTGAGGGAAGCTACATATGTGTGGAGGTCTATTTCTGAGTATCATGGCCATACAGAAAAGTATCTTTCTCTCTCTTTTTTTTATAGCTTCTTTAGCCTAAGAGTAATTTACTTTAGCCTAAGAGTAATTTACACATAAGAATAAAGTCAATCTTACTCTTTCTTCACTTTAATTCTGGTTTCTAAACAATAAACTGTACATCTGTACTAGTAATGGTCTGATGAAGTTTTTGCAGTTGTGGTAATGTGAGAAAAAATAAGGACAACATAGGGAGTTTCTGATAAAATTAATTTCATTCAATGTGATGTCTGTTATTTTAAGATAAGCCTTTTATACTTTTTTGGTGTTAAAATATCCTTCACAAGATGATATTTTAAGTTGTTGGCAAGTGTTTCTTTATTAGTGCCAACACAGCATAATAAAAAGTTGGTAACCACATATTGTTCCCTACAAATTTTTGGTCTCTGAAATCTAAAAGTCTGGAAGCCAATGATCTGTTCTCTCAGTATGTTTAATTTATGTAAAGAAATAGAACTACTTAGAGGTGGAGTAATGAGACTATGCTTAGGGCCCTTAGGCCTAAGAGATATTTAACTGTGGCCTTCTAATTTTTTAGGGAAAGAACACCGAAGAAAAGCAAAACCTAAAATTCAACCAAAAGATTCTTTGACTTTAATACCTCCTATAACCAACTTCATGGGACTCTTCAAAAAAGCAAAACAGACCACTGTTTCCCATAATGTTTTTTCTTTTTCATCTGCAATTTCATCAGATATCATAAATGTATCAAGACCAAGAATAGCGTGTTTGAACCAACTTGGGAAACATGAACAGAAAGCCAACCCAGAGAATGCAGAAGGCTAATAAAAAAGAAATGAGTATGAAAGGATTCCTGAGAAATTTAAAATTTTTAAAAATATGATAAAATATACATAGCTGAGTAATCTTTCCCTTTTTGTTTAAAGAATTTAACCTTTATTTTATGTACTTGTTTATTGTTGTTTATTTGTTTTTATGTGGTGCTGAGGATCAAACCCAGGGCCTCACCTGTCCTAGGCAAGTACTCTACCACTGAGCTATAACCCTAGCCCCAGCTGGGTAATCTTTTTGAATGGAAGTTCTTGATATTACAAAGATTTTCTTTACCAGTAGATATGGGGTAAGAATTTCTGCAGTAGACTGCCTGTACATAAATCTCCTAAGATTTATCAACTGATATCGGTTGAATTGGTATGCCGAGTTAAAGAGGCCTGATTCAAAGCAGCCCTCATGATAACACTCATTTTAATACCTTAAGATATTTAATGAAAATAAATTACAAATGTGATGCTTTAAAATGTATACTTTAAAAATATTTCATTTAAAAGTAAAAACTGATATAATTTCTCATCAGATATACAAGTGTGGTTAAAAAATACAGCAACCAGTGTTGACCATTCTCCATATTTATAGAGAATGCCTTTGTTTTGCAGATATAAAGGATGATTTCTTTTTGGCTTAGAACCAAACAATGCTTTTGCTCAAAAGCACTTTTGAATAGGTGCAGTTTTGATATACATTTGCTACTTCTATTTTACAACTACAGATAGTTGGGCTTCACTGTGTTCTTTAATGTGCCTCCTCCCCTTTATTCCATCCACTTCATTCAACAGCCCCCATACAGTTTAAGGGTCTTGCTATAATCCAGTCTCTTCCTGGGCTGCACTAGGCATTCAAAAAATATATTAATGAGTAGTTATTTTCTATAACATGCCTTAACAATAATGATGGTGATTATGGAAGCTATATGGATTTCAGGCATTCTTAGACTCCAAAGTCTGTGTTCTTAACTATTGAAAACTAAGAAACCTCTTAAATATTTCAAATTCAATTCTAAATTATGTTAACTGATGTGAGTTGAAACATTCTGGTAGATGGACTAAAATAGGAAATGCAGAGGGCAGAAATGGTATGTTTTAAGCTAGAAAGGATAAATAAATCTAAATGATAAGAAAGTGTTATTTACTAGGTACTGATAAGGATAAGAATTCATATCAATGGAAGTATTATAGAAGCCAGGATCATTTTCAGTAAAAGTCAAAAATAGTTTCTGCTATCCTGACTGAGAAAAAGGGAAAAAGCACTAGGTTGTATGATATGGGTACAGGATTCAATAGAATCACTATATGTCTTCCAAGGTTTTGTTTTCTACCTGTCAACATCTATGCAACCTTTCCCCATAAGATGTTTTACTTTGATTCTTGCTAATGAAAAAGCCACGCTCCTAAGGCTATAACATATTATTATTATTTTATCAGAAGAGCATACATAACAGAAGGAAGTCTTGATGATTAAGTAATATATTTATAAAATTTGATACTCAAGAAATTGGGAACTTAATTTGAATCCTGAAATACTACCTGTAGAGACTTTTTTGAAAAGCAAACATCAAATCTTCATTTTAAGTCGTGGTACTTTGATGGCAGCTTCTGCAACTTCTTTTGATATATCTACTCCAAGAGGACATCTGCATCATAATCAAATAAACCATATTATTTCAAACACTTTCTTGATGTTCCATTGCTAGTTTTGCACACTATTTGCTTTAGAATTCTGCAAAGTAGTGGAACTATTTAATGTGTAATTCATCATATATGGTGATGCTTCTTACAAATACAAAAGAATCTTAAGCTAGGATAATGAAGACCATTTCACTAAGAAATCTAAATTCTGAGATGTTTTTGAAAGAGTTCTGTTGTTCTCCATTACTCTAAATTAGAAAGTTAAAAACAAATGAAATATAAGTATAACAAAAGATGCCTTATAATTTTTAACAAAGCTAAAAAGATAAAAATAGTTTATCACATAAAGTCAAACATGCATTTATTTACATTTTAAATTCCCCAGGTTTCAAAAGTTGTCTTACCCCTTTTCAACCTTCCTTTGCTGCTACTGGCTGGAGAGGTCTTAGCTCCTATGTCTTTTTTGATTTCTGCTCTATAAATAATTTTAGCTTCAGATTTTAATCCAAGATAAGGCTGTGGCCTGGAAAAAGCCATCATCTCCAGTCTCAACACTGCCACAATAGGGCACAACCAGATCAGTGGACAAAACATATCTTATTGGCATAAGGGATTCTGACACTGCTAATCCAACTCAGTTCGTTCACCATAAGAATTAATAGTCTATGGTTCATGCAGCATAACTGTCTAGTGATGGACCATAATGCTGACAATATTTGAAACACTGAATGAAACAGTCTTCAAATTATAATTGTCAGATTATGAAACACAATTATGCTTTACCATTCTAGATCTAACTTAGACCACAACTTGAGAGCAAATTTTAAAAACTGTGTTATTACTAGAACTTTGATTTGGGAGAGGAAATAGGCTTGCAGTAAATAGTTATCTTTTGGCTGCTTCCCAGTTACCCTGTTAAGAACATAATCACAACTCCGTCTACACCTGAATGCTTTCTGCTTGTTTTGTTTCCCAGCATACCAGCTGGTCCTGAAAGCTTCTAGACATTGCAAAAGTCCAAATTATGGATCTGGTTTCCATTCTGGTCCCAAGTAAGGAAATGCATCATTTCTACACATGTCCAAATTCTAACTCACCTATGATTTATCAAAATTTTTCTAATTTAATTCTGTAGCAAAATAAACTTCTTAAAAGGTGTTAACCTCAATGAGGTTCATGAAAAAAAAAACTGATATAACTGTCAAGTACCACCAAAATATTAATAAAAACTTTATATATAAAAGCCAAAACCATTCTTTGGTTTTTATAATTTACCTTACATAAATAATATAAACTAGGGCTAGGGATATACCTCAGTTGGTATAGTGCTTGCCTCACATGCAGAAGCCCCTGTGTTCAATCCTCAGCACGGCAAAAAAATAAAAATAATAATAATAATATAAACTATACCACATACTTTGGTTCGTAGCGGATGCCTTCTATGTTGTCTAAAATGCCCAAGCCAGCACGTAATCTTTCAATACCATTCCTAAATAAGAACCATTAAAATAAAATTAATAGCCTCAAGATTTAAAGGAAGATTTAGTATGATGAAATGGTTAATTAGTATACTTATGAGTGAAGCTCATATATCCTATGGCTTACCATGCAATCATAATGCCATTATCAGTGCATAGTCTTGGGGGAGGACACAACAAAGTGCATTGTGTTGCATTTGTTACAATTTCCAGAGCTCTCCGTATATACAAGTTACTTGCAACACCTCCAGATACAACCTAAAGGAATTGATAAGACCCAATGAACTCCTATCACATATGAACCAAGTCATTTATTAAACCTGGGGAAATGCCAGCATTACTATAAGGTGAAATGACAAAACTTACTAGTACTGCATTACTTTGAGATAGCAAGTCTCTCTGCTTGCAAAACAGAATAGCACGATGTGTTCTTTTTGCAATGTGGCACGCAGTTGTATGCTGTACTGCAGCAGCAATGTCTGCAGCCGAAGACAGGATTTGCCCCTTCTCAATTCCTGCAGAAATGAGCAGGTATTTTTAGGCTCCACTGAGAAATATTTATTTGTCCAATTTTACTAATTAGAAATATACCTTCCTCTTTCTCCTTTTGCATTATTATTTTATCGATAACATGTTGAAGCCCAGAAAAAGAAAAATCACAATTTTTAGCACGCTGCATGGGTGGATTGATATCAAAATGAAATCTGTTTCCTTGTTTGGCCAAATGTTCTATAGCCTTCCCACCACTCATGGTGGAGCATTCTGGATGTTTGATTAAAGAGAGTCTTCTTGCTACCTATCAAAAACAAAAACATATTTTTAATGAGTTGTAAATTAAATATTTTGAAACCAAAAGGTACAAAGGAAATGAATTGAAAAATGTAAAATGCTGAATAAAATATGCTATACGTCTACAAATATGGACTACAGCTGATGTTCAGTAAAGCAAACCACCCAGTTCCTTATGAAAACCTGATCTGTAGTGGCCTATCACTGCCCTGCTACTTTTGCTCTTACATTGGGTTTAGAAAATGAGTTTGAAGTTGACAACAACTGCTTAATGATGAACTTCAAATAAGAACTTGTCCTATTCTTTCTATCATTTCAGCTGTTGGCAGCAGTTTGTTTGTTTTTAACATGGCCGTAGACTTTGTAGTATTCTAAAAAGGAAAAGAAAAATCTGTGGTTTCAGTAATTTAATCATAGAAATTTGTGCATCTTGATGTCCTTAGGTTAATCTTTATGTATTTTGCATTTTGTGGTATATTACAGTTTACAAAGCACTTTTTTCATATATAGTATTTGGATAAATATAAAATTTCAGCTGCAAATTATTTGAACCTTTATGTATTGGATGTAAAACCATTTTATTAGGAACTGGTAAGAAAGAATTACAAAATTATTTACTACTTTTTTTTCTTACTATACATAATTTTTTCAGTCTATTTAAGATATTGAGAAATACTTAAGTAAATGGTAGTATCATATCTATTGCTATTTAATTGAAACAGACATCATAACAAAAAAGGGTGGAGGGTGCTGGGGATGTAGCTGTGATAAAGCACCTAGCTTGCATGAGGTGCTGGGTTTAATCCACATCACAGCAAAAAAAAAAAAAAAAAAAGAGAGAGAGTGAAATTAGTTCTTAAATAATTACCTTGTCAAGCATGTCACCTGGTGCAATGTCCAAAGACTTTCCAAGAAGCAGAAAATCTGAAACTCCTCGAACTAATGCCAAGAGACAGTGACCTCCAGAAATCAAAAGAACTAAAAATGGAAACTCTACTTTATTGATCAACCTAATAGTAAGTGCGTGAGCCTCCATATGATGAATGGGGATGAATGGCTTTTTCAGCTGGTCTACCAGCTGTAAACTAAATGATAAGCCTACTCCTAAGCTTAAAGCAAGTCCTGGCTTTATGGTAGTTGCAATCGCTGAGAGTTCACTTGGAGATATTCCGCTGGCACAAAGAGCTTCTTGTACTATTCGTTGAATGTTTTCTCTATGAAGTTGTTGAGCTACTGGAGGAATAATCCCACCTGTTCTGAAACAAAAGAACAGCTTATTATAATTTTATGATTGTACAATAAAGAATGAAAAATTATGTTATAGCTGAATGCATGATTTCAAATTAATCATTATGTAACTGAAAACATTAGGATTTTCAAATTGTGTGGTCTATAATGCTGCAACTATGATAAGAACTAAACATGATGTTATGAATTCAGTATGAAGGGATGCTTCTGATTTTCCAAATTGGTACACAGAACTCCCATAGATTTGCTTGTTAATGAATGAAATCACCAAAACAATCTTAGAAAGCATTCTAAAGAAGTCTTGAATAAGGGAAGGACAGGATAAAATTATATTTTAGGAAAACAAATTTCCTTGAACATAAAGAGAATTTTAAAGAGATCATCACAAAAAAGTATTTGGATTAAAAGGCTGGGAGTATAGCTCAGTGGTAAAGCATGTGCCTAGCATGTGCACAGCCCTGGGTTTGATCCCCAGCACTGAAGAGGAAAACAAAAATCATTTGTGTAAAGTGATTATATCTTAAACTGGGTGATTGTGGTAATGGAAAGAAAGGGATGGAAAGCCTTCAAATCTGTAATAATAACTAATAACTAACATAAGGGTATGGAGGACCAAGTCATCAAAGATGATTCAGATATTTGGCTGGAAGGACTGGAAGAAAAGAAATACTAACACTGAGAAACATGATGGAAATTTTGTGAAGATGAGTTTATTTTTAAAAAAGACTGCACTTGAGGTTACAGCAGGATAGCAGACAGCTTGCAATCCTAAAAGTTTGGGAATCCAGTTCTCAAGAGTTGGTAATTAAGATTTTTGGTTCATGTAGGATAGTGTAATGCGAACAGTAAAGAATTAGAAAGCAAATTTTCTAGCAATGATTATGCAAGCATAAGACTGATTTTTACAATCTGAGAAGCAGTACAATAAAATATAGAGACTGAAAACATACCTCTACTCTAAAAAGAAAATCATCTTCAAACATCTGATGTTGCGGGTGGGAAGGACAGTGGAATGAGATGGACATTATTACCCTATATACATGTATGACTATACTACCAGTGTGACTCTGCACCATGTACAGTTAGAGGAATGAGAAGTTGTGTTCCATTTGTGTATAATATGTCAAAATGCATTCTACTGTCATGTATAACTAATTAGAACAAATTTTAAAAATTGGATGTTGCAAGACCTGATACTTCTACACACAGAAATGCAAATTATCAGTAGAATATTCAATTAATATTTACTTAATAGTTAAAATACATACAAAAAGAAATTATCTTATTTCAACACATTCTTATATTCCTTAATTGTTCAAAGATACGTTTTATTTTAAGAAAAGAAAAATGTTCAAAAAGATTCAAAAATTTAGTACACCCAGTAGAAACTGAAAAGACTGTGGTAATTACAGTTATCATCTGCACCACTTGTTTGATACTCACTTGATGCTGCCTTGCTCTGCTAGATCTCCTTATAGTCTATACATTATGTCTCTGATTAGATTCAGCTTTTCGAAGGGAAGAAATTTTTAGTATTTCATTGTCATGTAGTCCCTTTCATATAGTATGTTACCATTTAAGGGTTACTCTGTCTCTTTACGTAAATTATTTCTAATCTCAACAGAATCAGAGAGGATAATAAATTTGCCTTAAGTCACAAAGCCAATACTAAATGCCTAATTTAGGATTCAATACCAGTCTGTGATTCCAAAATACCAGCCCTTTTCACTAATCAGATGTTCTAAATTAATGACTTGGAGGCATATTTTAACATGTTTTGAATTAGCCAATATTTTTTTTTTTTTTTTAATTTGATGGGCCAATAATTTTTTAAAATCTGGAGCTATTACATTAAAAATATGGATTTTTTACTTTCTCTTAAAAATTTTGATAATGACATAGGTCTTATAGTCCTGCCTGGCAACAACTGGGTAGAGCTGAGCAGTGACCTTTTCCAGATAATTTATCCTTTATATCTAGCCCACTTATTTATATAACCTTGCAAACATCTGAGTTTATAAACCTTGCACTATTTTAAGATTTAATAAAACACTGCATCATTATTTAAGTAACAACATAAGTTGTATAAATGTGAATAGGATTTTTTTTTCAGGGGTTAATATGGGGTAGAGGTCGGGTAATGAGTTAAGACCATAAAACATACATGTTGAAGAAAGAAAAGGCATTGTTGAGAGAAAATCATTGACTAATACTAGAGCTGGTAAAGAGCTTAGTTCCTTTTTGGCAACAGGATTAGCTAAGGTTGGAAATTTAACTGTAGACAGTCATAAAAGCCAGGGTCAGATGTTTGAGGTTTTTCTATAGTAATTATTATAGGCTTTAACACAAAGGAATATGAACTTGGCTCCTAAAATTTAACTTTTATACATAATAAATACAAAAGAATGGTTCCATTTTTTTAAATTAAATTTTTTTAGATGTTGATGAACCTTTATTTTATTCATTTATTTATATGTGGTACTGAGAATCAAACCCAGTGCCTCACACATGCCAGGCAAATGCTCCACCACTGAGCCAGAACCCTAATCCTCTTTTTAAAAAGAGGTATTGGGGATTGAACCCAGGGGCACTTTACCACAGAGTTAAATCTCCAATCCTTTTGTAAAATTTTTTATTTTGAAATAAAATATATTTTATTTATAGGCATGAGGTGCCAAGCCCAGCTCATTATACTTTTCCAAAAAAGGTAGGGATAACAAACATATAGTCTACTTACTTTAAATGAACTTCAGTTTGGGAATGTATTGCTTCTCCCAACACATTTCCAGTTTCATCTACCACCGCAGCTGCTGTATCATCACAGCTTGTTTCAATACCCAATACTATTTTATGAAGAAATAGTATTCCAGGATGAAAATTAAAACTTCTTAAAAATCCATCAACTTTCCTTTTGGATGGTTTAAAAAAAACTCGTGCTGTCTTATTCAATATTAGCATTATTACTAGTATATAGATAATTCCTGGAAAATAATTATAGAAACAAACATTACTTGGAACTAACATTAGCAATTAACCCACTCAAAATAATATGTGTGACTTATTTTTCAATACATACTTTTATAGAACTGTAAGAAACTCTGCAAGAGTTACCAAAATTTTATAAAAGTTCCAGCAACCTGTCGATGTAAATAAAAGTATTAACGAGTATGAGGTTTTTCAAGAGGGAAAGAGAAATCAGATAAAACATTCTGTAATATTACAGGTTGAGGATCCCTAATTTAAAAATCTGAAACACTCCAAAAACTGAAATTTTTTGAGTACTGATATGATGACAGAGGTGGAAAATTTCACACCTGACTCCATGAATTATATCAGTCAAAACAGGTACATTAAAATATTATATAAAAATTAACTTCCAGCAATAGTATAAAATAAGGTATATTTGAAATATACTTGAATTCATTTTAGACTAGGGTCCCATTCCCAAGATATCTCATGTATATACTAATATTCCAAAATCATCACCCCACCCCGAAAAAACAAAAAAGAAAAAGTCTGAAATCTGAGACACTGCTGTTCTCAAGCATTTTGGATAAGTGGATAAGGATGCTCAACTTGTAATATTGTTTTCATGCCATTCTTACCAATCTATTCGTTATTCTTTACAAAACAACTAATATTAATTACATGGATATTTCTCTAAAAACTGCTATTTTTCATAGTTAAAACCAAGATAAAATGTTTATTTTTTTATATCAAACAACAAATGCAAATAGAACAGATAAAAATAAATGCATCCTATTTCCTGGAAACATTTCTCAAAATAAAATTTAATCATTTGGTTTTAAAACAAAAGTTCATGTAAGACACACATATGCACACCCATCAAGACGCAATCTTGTAGTTTAGAAATAAGTCTTTTCATGAAGTTCATCCTAAAGAAACATATCTAAACTAAAATAGTGCAACCCAACACATATTTTATCCTTAATTACAATCTTAGGAATTAAATCTCCGTTTTTTGCCACCAGGTTTATCATTACAAGTTTCTTCTCAACTCGTTTTTCTCCCACAAATTAATAATCCATCATTAAAGCACCCTAGTATTTTCATACTGCAAAGTAGGTCCTTTCCCTATCACACGAATGGACAAAATTAGGGGTTTAAAAAGGCAGCGAATAATATCGAAACTGAACAGAGAACATCCAGAGATTAGAGATGAGCGACCTAGTCGCAAAGGGCAGCTCAAGGAATGAGGCCCAGACAGAGAAATAGATTTGCAGTAACTCAATCCGAGCAGGGCAGATTGTGAGAAGTACTTCCCTTTCAGAGCAAGAACGCTGCTGAGTGACCGGGTGACTAGGATGGCAATGGGATCTCTTGCTCTAAGAAAAAGGGTAGGGGGCTGCTCTAAGTTAAGGGGGAAACCTCTTCTCCAGTTGCACGAAACCATAGTGGGGCAAAAGGCGAAAGGTTAGCAATTCCACCCTCCTCCCTCCCGAACCTCAGTACCTAGCACTCGTCTCCTTTCCCTAGCAAAACCGGCTGACTGCCTCTCTCTGGCACAATCAAACCGGAGACTGGCGCCCCGGAAGTGATGTCATCAGCACCGTGTTGGCGTCCCTCGTCCTGCCCTGGTTGCTGTAGCCCTAGAAAGCCGCGTTACTGCTCTCTCTTTCTTTTAAAATTTTTATTCTTATTTGTTATATATGACAGCAGAATGCATTACAACTCATATTACACATATAAAGCACAATATGAAAAAAAATTTTTTCATATGGAATCTGGCGCTCTTAGCAAGATAAGTTGAATGTCCGATTTTGCCCCGGTCTCCGTTTGTGCACTGGTGCATTTCTTCCAGATTTGTAGGTAACCAGACTTCTGTAAGGTCACATAGCTAGTGACTGAGCCAGAGGAAGCCGAATGCAGACTTGCATTCGTTTAACATTGCGCTACATTCCTAAACAAGTTTGTGTGCGCTTTTGACTGGAATTTGGTTGCCACTGTGAGAAAAGGATGAAGAAGATTATTTGCCATTCCATTTTTAGGGGAACTACTACCAAGCCAGAATGTGGTGGCCAGAAATACTTAATACCGTACTTATCACAGAAAGGGTGTAAACTAGAAATGCCCACAAGAATTTGCCACGAGTTCCCAGAGAACGGACGTGCTTCTGGTCGGACAGTCTAAACCCTTACTCCCAATTCTTCACTAAGAGTAAAAAGATCTTGGTTTATTTTTGTAATCTTAAAGTAAATGGCCGTTGTAAAATTTTAAAATAATACTTTTCATATTGCATTATGTAGTCCCTGCTTACTGTGTAAGCAATCTCCAGTATGGAATGTATTCATATCCTTTTTTCTTAGTTCGTGAACTTGTTGCCATTTGTTTGAATAAATACATTCCAAGAATTTTTTCTCTCCCCTCGCAAGGCTTTAAGGTTTCAGTAAATAAGGGCCTTATAGTGCAGTGCAGTGTATGTGTGTGTATTTGTGTCTTACATGGTGTTGAGTGCTGAGTATAAAGGATTGGTGAAGTATGTGGAGAAGTCACAGAGAACACTCTAGGGGTAGATACAAATAAGTAAATGCATAATTACCACAATACTGTTGAGATTGTTTTTGGTTCGAAATTAACGTTTTTCCAAACTTTCATTTATGTGAAAATATATCAGTAAAGTGTCATTTATTATGTACCCAGCACTGTGGTAAATTAATTTATTTAATCTTTACAGCAACCCCCAAAGGTAGTTACTATCTTCATTTTAGGTGCAATTAGGTGCAACTGGGCCACAGGGTTTAGATGATTTGTAAACCACACAGCTAGTAACTGCAAGTTAGGATTAGAAGTCAGCCCATATGGCTCTGGATCCAATTTTCTTAATTGCCAGAAAAACTCATATTTTCTTTAGGGTGCATTGTTAACATACACTCCCAAATAAAAGGATAAAAGAAGAATTAAGACCTAAAGATTAAGAAAAATTAGTCATCCTGTTTGATTATATGATAGAAGTTATTTCTGTTATATAGTGGAATCTAGTCTGAACATGAAACCTTTCATAGCTGGTATTATTTTTCTTACAATTGAAATTACATTCAGTAGGTGTCTCCCAGAGCTCTCCTGTGCTGTCAAGAGTTATCCCTTTGTGTATGTTAACATATCATTTAGCTGATTCCTGGTCTAAACACTCCTGACAGTATCAAATCTCTATGCTGCACTATGTGGAATAGCAGAACTCTAGAGCACAAATTTAGGAAGTGAGGGAATACATCCTCATTTTTTTCTACTATACTGGAGAGGTTTTCTTTTTTTTTTTTTTTTTTTTTTTTTTTTTTGTGGTGCTTGGGATTGAACCCAGGGCCTCATGTATTTGAGGCAAGCACTCTACCAACTGAGCTATATTCCCAGTCCAGGAGAGGGCTATTGAGGGAAAGGCAAGTATGTATGTTGTCTGGAATTTCATGCAGATATCATATCGTTAGAATGCCACCTTTGTAACTTCAGAGTTACAACTGAATCTAAATACTCCCACTTTGTCCAATTTACCACTTGTAATCCTTAGAGAAAAATTATATCTGATTTTTTTTTTTTTGGTGACTTTGGAGATTGAACCCTAGGCCTTAAATCCCTAGGCAAGTGTTCTACCACTGAGCTACAACCCCAGCTAATAATAATAATAATAATAATAATAACACAACAATCATCATAATAATTGTATTTTATAATACTTATTTCCTAATTATGTCTTCCTAAGTTGGACTTTTTTTTTTTTTTGAGACAGGATTGATATGTTGCCCAGGATTGATATGTACTAAATTCCTGGGTTCAGCCTCTCATTGCATCTGGCTGGATCTTTCATCACGTATTTTTTTTTTCTTTGTGCTAAGAACTTTATTAGTTGTTAGAACTAAAGAGATAAAAGCCATTCCCCTCCTTAAGGATTTCAGTCTAGTGGCAAAAGACAGATAATAGGCAATACAGAATTATGGATGTAGAAATGGAAAGTGTACACTGAGAGGCGCGGCTTGGAGAAGGCCTAGTAAACTGCCAGATGTATCCAGTGGCCTGGCAGGAGCATGGTGATTACTTGGTTTCAATATCTTGATTCTTTAAATAGGCTTGAAATTGCCTTATCAGGTCTGGAAGTGACTGGACTCTGGGGTACTGAATTACACATCAAAGATTGCTAAGAAATTGTTGGGTAAAAAGCATTGATGCTAATGTATTAAGTTGTGAGAAATGCAGCGAAGGGGAGCTAGAATAGTTGCGGTTGCTGATCATCATCTTTGTGTTGACCAAATTACAATTAAAGCTAAATCCAAATCATAATCAGAGGATTTCTTGGTAAATACAGAATGGAAATGAGTTTGGTGCTTTTAGTGACTAATATTTCTACGCCTTAGTCAAATCCTTCCCACTGAGTCACATAACTGTCTTATTTTTTGTGGTACTGGGGATCAAACCCAGGACCTTGCACATGCTAGGCAAGTGCTCTATCACTGAATAACATCCTCAGCCTGTTCTTATTTTATGGTAAATTGTTCAGGCTGACTTCAATCTTTCTGCTTCAGTCTCCGGAGTAGCTGGGATTACGTGTGTAAACCATTATGTCGTTTGTCTTACATCCTTTGTTCATTGGATTATGCTGAAAATATGCTACTGTTTGCCTTTCTCCTAATTTTCTTTACTATTAGTGGTGATACTTTAAAATTTTTCTTTTTATTAGTGGTGATACTGTCAGGTCTGCTTTCTGGAATATATTTTGCTTTTTATGTTTGCTAAGCCATTATGCTTATTTTACAATCTAACTTTCAGATTGTCTTTTTTATATGATGTACGTATTTATAATTTTAAGTGTATAGTTAAGTGGCATTAGATGCAGTCACATTTTTCTGCAATCCTCCAATCTTTCATCTCTGAAACTGTAATTATATACCCATTCAAAAACTGCCCTTTCCCCTCCTTCCATAACCCCTGGCAACTTCCATTCTACTGTCTTTAGGATTTGATTACTCTAACTCCTTCATGTAAGTGGGATCATACGACATTTGTCCTCATGTCTGGCTTATTTCACATATCTTAATGTCTTCAAGGTTTATTCATTTCTAATTTGTATAAAAATTTCCTTCTTTTTTAAGGCTAAATTCTATTATGCATATATTCCACATTTTAACCATCTGTTGGTGGGGCACTTGAGTTGCTTCCACCTTTTGGCTATTGTGAAAAATGCCACTGTGAACATGGGTGTACAAATATCTGTTCCAAGTTTTTGCTTTCACGTTTTTGTATATACTCAAAATTGCTGGATCATATGGTAATTTTGATTTTTGAGGAGTCTCCATACTCAGATGATCTTAGTGTACAGGGTCTAAGTGTGGTTTCAGTAGGGAAGACAGAGGGTGAATCTCTTTGTTGTTTCCCTATACACTCTGATTGTTAAATGTCATGATAATGCTATTAGAGAAGCATATGGTTTGAGTAGAATTCATAGAACAAATGTTTCAAACGATCACTGTATTTTATCACGCAACAGGCAATAGATCAGTTAACTTTTGAGTTCACATTTAAAAAATGATAAAAATGAAAAAATAATGCATATTTATCTTGATAATATGATCAACCTAAATATACAACAGTTGAAAAATCTAGAAATTTTTCCAAATAATATCATAAATAAAAATAATTTATAATTGTATAATGGGGAAGTCAGAAAAAAATCCTTTCATATTTTGTATTTTAAAAAGAGCTCATTCTGGGCTGGGGTTGTGGCTCAGTGGTAGAGTGCTTGCCTCACATGTGTGAGACACTGGATTTGATTCTCAGCACTGTATACAAGTAAATGCATAAAATAAAAAGTTCTATCATGAACTAAAAAAATAAATTTAAAAAGCCCATTCTACAGTGTTAATGAATTTGGTTTGTTCCTTTACTGTACTTCTTATATTTGAGATTATCTTTGTAAACATGTACTTATGTAGAGTGAAAGGACACAATGATAAACTTGGTGTTATCTACTAAGTATGAAATTATACAGAACTTAAGAGCTATAGGTGAATCATTTCCATTATCATGATTTATCAAGGGTTTGAATAACAAATCATGATATGGAGTTTGATTCAAACTTCCTGTTTTACTTATATTTTTATTAAACCTTTTTCTAACTATATTTTGGATTATGGAAAAGTTCTGAGAATAAGATAAACAAGTTCTGTGAGCCCAATACCCAGTTAAGGTAGATAAAATGTCACCTAAAGCAGTTGAAGCAGTATGTGCACATACACCCAAGATATTCTGAATTTGATGTTTATGAATTCATTTTTTAGCTAAATGAGAAATTTTAAACACACACACAAACTACTTGCTTAATCATTTTTAATTAGAACTGAAATAAAAACCTGCAAAGTGTCACAATTTTTCTTTTTGACACCAGGCTATTCTTATTTCCCCCTTCCCTAGGCCTCTCTAATATTACCCACACCAGGTACTGTCCATGTTACTGTTTTGTGAACTAGTCTTTTCTATACTGTTAGACTTTTATACTGACTGACTGGGTTGTTGTCTTCATGAATACCAGGTTCATTTTTTTTTTTTTTTGGTTATATTTCCTGGTTTACTAAATCCACTTAATAAGCATTTGAAGGTAAAACCTTCATTAATAGCACTACATGCTGAAGATGTGAGATTTTAGTGACTATTAAAGTGAATCAATGATATTTGGCTATCAAAATAGCAAGTGATATTAGGTTGCACTGAAGGAAAAAAAAGCATTGAGAACAAAAGAAGTGGTAGTACAATCATGTCACATCTCTTTGCCTACTGAATTTAGAGCACAATTATTAGGAAAGTGGGAGAAATTTGAAACAATATTGTTTGGAAAATGGTGAGGTAGTGAGGACTATGGTAATGTTTATTCAATGCTGCTGTTTCAATGTTATCTTTAAATAGATGAAGAGTTATGTGGAATATGGATTAGACTTCAGATCAATGTAAAACAAGTTCTAAATTCCATTACCAAGCTAATTATTTTTAATAAAAAATTGAGATAATTATGGATTCACATGCTCTTGCAAGAAACAGTACAGAGTGATCTTTTACCCCAGTTTCCCCAAATGGTAATATCTTGCATAACTATAGCACAATAACATAACCAGAATATTGACAGTGAAATAATTCAGATTTGATTCAAACTTCCGGTTTTACTTATACTTGTGTGTGCCTACACATGTGTGCATTTCGCTCAATGAAATTTTAGCATGTGTATTTTACATATCCACTGCCAGTTAAGATATTTAAAAAGTTCCATCACCTTTGGGTCCTCCATGTTGTGTTTTGATCAGCTTCCTCCCTTCTGCACTATCCCCCATATCTAGTCACTAGCAACCACCAATGTTTTTATCAACTCTATGGTTTTTTTTTCCCCCTAGTTATTTCCTCCTCTATTACTGTTAAAACAGAACTGAACAGAGGACTGGTAATTAATGAAGATTCAAGCTAAGGCACGAAACTGAATTACATGGTCTCTAAGGATTTTTCTAACTCTTTTCAATATATAGTTGTACACAGCTAATTTACAAAGATATAGTCCCATAGACAATATCTCCCCCTGCCTAAAAAAAAAAAAAAAAAAAAAGGAGCAGGTCAAAAGGACATAGGAACTAACGTGGAAAAATTTCCAATGGTCAAAGATAGAGGACAGTATGAGCAACAAATTAATGACAACAAAGGATTATAACCCAAAGAATAAAACACTGATGGGTCTATAATGTAAACTAATGAATAAATAAAGTAGTAGAGACAAATTTTTCTTACAGAATAATTCTAATAAATAAATATAGAAGGAATGAGGGAAATAGAAAATCATCATTAGCAGTCCATAATAAATATCACTGCAGGAAAGATACACTAAAGTTAGTAGCATTTCCAAGCTCATGTCTACTTAGAAATTGCCATTATGTCTCCTGACTTGAAGTTAGTAGCAACTATTGCATGCTATTAGGTTTTGGTTACTAAAAGATATTACTGTATAAATTCATAAAATTGGGTATTTTCCATAATTAACACAATCATTCACCTAGATATTTATAGCCCAAAACTAGGAGTCACTTTAATTACCTCCTGCAATGCTACATTCAACACATCCATGTCTTTCAATACATCAGTGTCTGGTGAGTTATACTTGCAAAATATATCCCAAATCTGACTACTTTTTAATAACTGATCTGCTGCCTCCTTAGTCTGAGCTACTTCCTGTCTGCAGTAGCTTTCCAACTATTCTACCTGCTTTTTATTCCCTTATTCTCAACATTAGTCAATGATCTTTAATATAAAATTAGATTTATTTAATCTTCTGTATAAAACTCTAATGACTTAGTCATATTTACAATAAAATCTGCTTATTAGTTTGATCTAAAGAGTCCTTTGAGATCTGGCCCCTACCTACTTCTCAAATCCCACATGCTACCATTCTTCTTCTCCTTGCTTATTTCTATCTAGTCCCAATGGTTGTCTTATTCTTCCTCAATGTCTCCATTCTGCCCCAAGACCCTTAATATCTGTCATTACCTCCTGGGAATCATCTTTCTTTCCCCAGATCTTGGTACTGCTTGTTTCTTTTCTTTTTTTGTACCAGGGATTGAACCCAGGGGCACTCAACCACTGAGTCAACATCCCCAGCCCTTTTTTCTATTTTATTTAGAGACAGGGTCTCAATGAGTTGCTTAGGGCTTTTCTAAGTTGCTAAGGCTGGCTTTTAACTCACAATCCTCCTTGCTTCAGCCTCACAAGTCAACTGCTTGTTTCTTCACATCAGCAAAGTTTGTGTTCAAATATCACCTCGGGATCCTGAGTGAAGAATTTCTTCTGAGTCAGGCCTGTATCTGCTTAATTTTTTTTTTCATAGGATTTATTATTACATGAAATAATATGTATTTGTTTATTCATTATCTGTCCTTTGACTAGAATGTAAACACCTCCAGGGAGGGAATTGGTTTGTCTTTTTACAAATTATCTGTAACACCTTCAATAGAGTGGGCCCTCATATATCTATTGAGTAAATATTTTTAAAACACTAAAAGGAGAAAGGGAAAATGTATCTTTGAAGTATCTTTGAAGTAACAAAGGAGTATTTTTAATTACCTTAAAATTTAACTTGCTTAAAAATTAACTTGAAAATGTCAATATAGCATTGATGACTGAATTGGAAAGCTTTTGAAATAATCTTACACCAAGGAAAAAATTTTATTAAAGTATAGATTACCAGTTATTTAAAAATACATAAGACAAATATACAAAAGGCAGTATCATACAACTGATTTCTAAACTCAATACTTTTGAAATACAAAACAATGATCACTATCCTGAAAAGTCAGTTTGTTGACAGAGATTGATCTTTAAGTTGGTCAAAAACTCCTTTCACTCAATTTTGTTTATATGTATTACTCAGTTTTTCAGTTTTATCATTTATCAGAACTTTGTTTTTTTGTTTGTTTGTTTCTTTTTTAAATGTGATTGCTTCTCAAGTATAGTTTTTTCTTGCAATTAATGTTAGCAACTATAGGTAACTTCCCTAAGTCACAAGAATTCAATATAATCACTACTCTAAATAGTTACCATTTAGAGTTACCTATACTAAGACTCATGTGTTTAAAGTAAAAATATTAACAAGCAAACTATAGGGGTTGAGAGCAGGACTAAGGAAAGACAATCTTATCTTTTACTACAGACCTGCTAAAACAAAATATCTATTACTTACTTTGGTACTATGGCTAGAGAAGCAGTTACTGCTAGACCACAGGTAGCTACGTAGCTGTCCATTTTATATTTCCTTTTCTAAGGAATGACAGACTTTACCAATTAAGTTTCTTAAACCTAAAAAACAGGCACCTATAAACAACCCTGTACTTTAACTTCTTGAAATAAATTATTTTAACTGGTTTATTAGCAGCCTTGTGTCTGGAAAACCAAGTAAATCTGTTTTGTTCCAAAATTAGAATGCTGACTCAGATGGTATCTTCCAGCATCAGTCATGAAGGTGGACCTTCAAAAACTATGTAATATAATAAATGCAAAAATAATTTCATCTATCAACACATAATACTGAGCCGGCAAAAAAACAAAAACAAAAAACCCCACACTCATAAGATAATTCATAAGAAACTGGTTTGTACAAAATAAGTTTATATCCTCTTACATAAGAGAAATATATATGGTAATAAAAGTAATCTATAATAAACTTATAGAGATGATTCCGATTTACATGTTAAGTCTGCCTAAACTAATTGTCACTGAAGGACTGAAAATTTTCTTTTCCTCATGTCATGTCCATCATTATAATTAAGCCGGTCCTAGTTTCTTACAAATATCTTACTTCCTTGGATTTATCTACTACACCCTCACTATACTGCAATTAACTTATACGCTGGGCCTGCCCAGCCTGCCTATAAAGCCTTTCTTCCAAAATATACCAGATGTATTAAACAGAGGCATCATTTAGTAGGATTCTGCACTTCAAGACAACATCTAAAGAACCAGCAATTGGTCCTCTGATGTAGATACCTCTCATTTCACATTATCACAGAAACAGTGCAGTTTACCAACTACTCCTTCCTTACAGGAAACTCAGTAGCTGTAAAAATTTTGTTCAGTTTCAAACATTTCAATACTTATTAATTCCAAAGATCCGAACACCATGTAGTTGGGGCATTTTGGGAATAAGCACACTCAGAAGAGAAGCTGTGTTTAGGATGAAGTGAGTTGAATCATACTTCGTATAGAAACTTGCCAGAAAATATCTGTTGAGATAAAAGTCAAGAATACATGTAACATCCAAAAATGAAATTATTTAGAATTTTAAAAAATTAAAAGGTAGAAAAAAGGCCACCAAACACAAATACCTAAAAGTAAAACCATTTTGGATCACTAAAATAAAAATTTTAATTTAGGTCCAAGTTTATTTTAGATTGGTATTTAAAAGTGTGTTTAGTGGTGATGCACATTTTGCATTTCTGTAATTATGTTAAATACATTTAATAGAATACACTGCAATTTAGCAGAAGCTTAAAGTGGAAAGCTTTCAAAATAGGTTGCATATGCCCTCAGAGACTTCAAATGTAGTTTTGTATTTATGTATATATTTCTGGATCCAAAGCATCCATCATGGTCTCAAAGGGTTTTGTGACTCACCAAAATGTTAAGAATCACTATTGTAAACCTTTGAAAAATTAGGGTTTTGGTAGTACAATTCAGTATCTTTGAAAGAAATAAATAACTGGTTGTCCTTTTGATGTTCTCATTTTTGTACTATAGTTGAACAGGTCTATAATCAATCCAACTGGAAACCTGAAAGTTACTGTTGTAAAATTACAACTGTTTTGCTATAACTAAACACATGCACACAGTCAGACATTTAACCATCCGAGAATTTGTTTTAATAAGTGTAAACCACCTTTAAGACCATAAAATGAGCCCAGAACATCTAGTTTTACCCAAGGATATAAAGAGTGCAAATATATCCTCTGGCTACAAAGAGCACTCTCACATTGATAGAATGTGAATCAACATAATGCCTTACTTGATCAAAACTAAGAATTTAGTTTCCATATAGTTGTCAGTCTAATTACTTTCAGAGAACATAGGAAAGTATTCTAATAGCCTCTCCTCTATTGTCATTCGTTTCTCCTCAGGGAAGAGACATATATAACATGGTCAAAAGAACAGCTATATCCAAATATGTCTGAAAACATCAGACAACTGTATACATCATCACCAGAACTGTTTAGACTGAAAAATTCTACATCTATTTCAAAAGTAGCCAGAAAATTCTTTCTTGAGTAAACCATATTCTTTGATTTTTGCTTTATATTGTTTCTTCCCACTTTCATAGACTTTGAAGACTATTTTTATACTTCCTTCACAGAATAAAACAGGGTTATCAGTTGCATTTAGTAAGCACATTTGATTTGCTGTCATCATTATAGGTTTAATCTATAACCTGATAGGCTGAAATAAATTTAGTGTATCTTATCATACTATTAGCCTATGTACCTGGTGTTTTAATGAAACCTAATTGTGTGTGTAGATTATATGAAAATTATCTGATTCTTAAAAAAATATAAATGCATTAAAAATAAGCCTAAAAGCATTTATTTACTAATGGATCTATTGGAGACCTGAGTTAGAAGATAGATATTTAGGGTTGATTGTGGGCTCTTGATTCCAAATAACTGCAAGATCTTTAGCACAGTCATACATTTGAATATTTCTCCTGCCCCTCTAATACTGAGGCTTGAACCCAGAGGCCCACTACCATTGAGTCATACCACCAGCCCTTTCTTTGTATTTTGAGACAGGGTCTTGCTAAGTTGCCAAGGCTAACCTTGAACTTGCTATCCTCCTGTGTATCAGCATCCCAAGGTCACTGAGATTATAGGCATGCACCACAGTGCCCAACAGAATCTGTTTCTTTATCTAAAAATCTGGAATAACACTGTATGTCACACCTACCTGACAAATTACAATCAAATATGAAGATTGGAAAGCACTCTGAAAAGTACTGGGGCTAGGGATATATAGCTCTGTGATAGAGCACATGCCTAGAATACGTAAGTTTCGGGGTTACATCCTCTGCACCACACACAAAAAATAAATAAAAAATAAAAAATAAAATAAAAATAAAATCAATGCTATAAAGATGGTTTCAATGTTGTTTCTTTAGTTATGTAAGGAATTTAATCAGAATAGCTGAAATCATACCTGTGAGTCAAAAAAATATTTTAAGAAATTATTTGACTGTTTTCATGATAGTTATTATTACATATATTAAGTACAATTCTTGGGGCTGAGGTTGTGGCTCAGTGCTAGAGCACTTACCTTGCATGCATGGGGCACTGGGTTCAATTCTCAGCACCACATTAAAAAATAAATAAAGGTATTGTGTCCATCTATAACTAAAAATTAAAAAAAAAAAAAAAAAAAAAGATACAATTCTTGGGGCTACTGAGGTTTTCAAGAATGGCCAAAGTCACATAGCTTGAAAACAACAGACCCAAATCTCAAATTTAGGACTAAAACAACCTTTATTTTTATTCTTAATATTTATTTCAGTTAGGCCATACAGACATTTTTCTTTTGAGGTTAATTCCTGCCCTCTTGCCTCCCAGTACTGGGGATTAACTCAGGAGCACTCTCCCACTGATCTACATTCCCAGCCTGTTTTACTTTTTATCTCTAAATAGGGTCTTACTAAAATTGCTGAGGCTGGCCTCAAACCTGCAATCCTCTTGCCTTAGCCTCCCAAGTTATTGGTTTTATAGGCATGTGCCACTGTGCTTGACTTTTGAGGTTTAAGAGTCATAACTAAACCAATTCAAAGTTCCTATAAAATGCTATAAATGTAAAGAAACCCATGACTTTATGATCAGTTTATTCCTTCACTTGAAAATGTAATCCCTACTTAAACATCTATCCAAATCTATGACTCTTTAAATCTAGCTTAAAAAATTCCATCACCTCCTGAAAGTCTTTCCACCTACCCCAGACTACACTGATTCCATCATGGATATAGCATTATGTCTGAATTCTGTGGTAAAGTGTTAATTAAGACATATGTGAACCTATTTATTATGTGCAAGACACTGAGTTTGGGATTCAAAGCAATCTATGTACTTATACACTCTTAGAAGGCAAAAAAAAAAAAAAAAGTGTATATACAATTTTGCCAGTTGTATCTAAGGTGAGGTGGGGGCAAAACAGAAGAGCTTGCTTAACCACGTGAGAGTGGGTGGGGATAAAATATTTAGATAAATGGAAAATGAGGTAGAAAGGATTGTATGGAAAGCCCTGATATCAAATAATAAGAGAAAATCAGATACAAGATACAAAATTAAGATAGCTCACAAATAGATATTATCTTATTTATCTCTCATAGCATCAAGTTAGGTATCTTTAGCTAGAATTTTATACGTGAGCAGACTAAGCTGAATAAATGGAAGACACAGGATTCAAGTCAGGTCCGTCCTACATGCAAAGCCCAGAATTTCTTTTTCTAAACTATATTTTCTTCTCCCAAAGAATTTGAAGATCCAAATAAGGCTGGGTTGCCATTGAAATTCTTCTGATCTTCTAAATTACTGTTTAGTGAGATTAATCTGATAGTGCAGTACGGGATATGATCATGTGTTTAATTTTCTTATATGAAACTTAAGGACATGTTTTAAACTACATATCCTAGAATGTCTACGTATACTGAAGAACATGTAATGTCTCCAAATGTACTAACTGAAGTGAAAATTGCTTTATCATCAACTTGTTAAATAACTTGCCTGTGCCTTACACCACAACTGAGGTACTTACTTATTGATAGAAGTTTTCAACAAAATATTTTGTTTCTAACTCTAATTCAATCTGATAAATGGACAACTTCCTATTACCCAATCTTCTTTATACTTATATATTTCTGCCACTTACAGAATTATTGGAGAAATTGTGAAAAACTTCCGTGAAGATGTAAACTGTACTCCATAGTCCAGTTGTTCCCAATGAGTTAGGAGCCTTGCTTTACCTTGGTCAGGAGTTTCAAAAGGTGTTCCTTTTACTGCATGCAAAAATACATACATCCCCTGAAAAACAAGCAAGGTGATATATAACCAATAACAAATACAAAATTTGTCCTAGTGAGTTAAGGGTAAAGCTGGTTCCAGGGTATCTATGAGTGTATGATTTTATTGAACAGTTCAAATTTTAAGATTTCATAACCAATTAAAGACTCTGGCCAGTTTCTGCATGGCAAATAAAACTTTCTGAGATATAGAAATATTATTGGATGAAAATCAGTAAAAGATTAATCCAAAGTAACTTATTTTCATAAAGTTGAAGATAAAAGTATCATCAGGGTAGTTTCACATCATTACAGTTAGGTTATCTAACACCTTTCCTAGAAACAGGATTACCTTTTTCCAAATGTATAGGGAAACTTTTCTTCAATGTTATATTAGTAAATCTGATGATACTTACCTCTGCTTTAGTAGTTATCTTCCATAGCAACAAAGATGGTTTGATGTAATAAGTATAATGTTCAACTCAATTCCCTTTTAAAATCACCACTGTGCCTCTATGGTGTTTCTTTTGAAGTCAGGTTTTAAAAAATTAGAGAAAAACATATTTGGTATTGGGGGTTGATCCCAGGGGCGCTTTACTACTGAGCTACATCTCCAGTCCTTTTTATTATTTACTTTAAAAGAGGGTCTTGTTGAGTTGCTGACCATGAGTTATTGTGCTCGGCTAGTAAAACACACTGCTAAGAGCTATTCTGACTATATATTTTTCACATCTAATTTTGTAGTAAATAGCAAAAACAATGTATACTCGATTTGGTTTCATTGAGATTATGATGCTAATTTATACTGATAAGTAGTCCTTTATTCATTTCACAATCACTGTTTGAGGCACTAGTAAGAGCATAAAGCCTAAATATTATTATGAAATTGTTTTCCCTTTACAAGCCATGATATGAAGTCATTTTTTTCTACTTCAACTTTTAAGAAATATATAGAAAAAAATGTTTTGCGATTTTATATTGAACCAGATTAAAAGAACTGTATCTTTCAAAGCTTGGTTGGCTTCATAGTATTAACTAGCTGTAAAACACCTAACCTATGGAGGAAAGAACTCAGGCTTCGTTGAAGTCCACAAACACTTAATGGTGACTTGTGTGTGTAAGACACATAACACGTATGCACATATGAGATTCAACAAGACTTGTCTCCAGCCTTGAAAAAACATTCAGTCTTCTAAGGGATGCTAAGGAAAAAAACACACACAAAACAACTAGAAGGTAAGGCGGACACTGCTATCAAAAGCCCCACCAGAGTACTCGGGAAATACAGAAGGAAAGGACTGTTTCTGTGGCAGAAGCCTTGATGCTACCCTGTCAACTACCTCATTGTTGATGGTTCAGCTCAAATGAAAACTCCTTAGTGAAACCCTCAGTAGTAATAATTAACCACCTGTTTATGTGCTTGCATAGAATTTCACTGAAAATACTTTTATTGCAGCACACTATATTGTGTGAAGAGTTGTTTGTGTAATGTTTGTTTTCCCATTAACCTGAATACTTCAGGAAAAAGGGCTAGTACCGGCAAGTATTAGATATATTGGAAGACAAGATTAATCCAAGACCTGTTTGTGCTATAAGCACTAGGAAACCATTTTTATAAGGGCTTTAAAGGAAACAATGAAGCAGAAAGTATGTGCCTTCAAATTCTCTTGTGATTCCAAAACAGTATGTTTGATTATATATCTTCTACCCCAATATGTTTAAAAGTTCTCATATAGAAAAGAGAATATTTATTTCATGGCTAGTCCTTAATCAAATAAAGAGAATTCTTTCATTTTTAAGGCTAATAATTTTGTGAAGCATTAAAATATCATGCTGGGCGTTATAGCACTGTATAAAAAGAATCACTAGGTTTCTATTATATGGTTCAGAGAGGTAAATATATTTTTCTGCTGGGTGCAATAATTAGGTTTGTTTTCCCATGTTTAAAAGCATTCAACATGCATTTCACATTTTTAATTGGTTTAATGTAAGCTATCTTCAAAGGAAACTTAAAATTCAGAGTCATGTAATTGCTACATCTGTGGGTGGCTGAGTTAGGTGAACTAATAATAAATCAGAAGTTTGCTTTCCTACATGGTGTCAATTGCTTATTTGTTCATGACCATATACTATGCCTCAATTCAAGTTAATCAACTTGAAAACAAGGAGTATGGGGAGAGGGAATAACTTCTAAAATACATTTAAGACATGTGCCATTTTAAAAGGGAAAATTCTAGGCCAGCCATGGGAACTTAGCAAGACCCTGACTCATAACAGAATTTTAAAAAAGGATTAGCTCAGTGGTAGAGAGCCCTAGTTCAATCCCTAGCACTTCCAAAAACAAAAAACAAACAAAAAAACTCCACAAAAGAGGCAATAAACTACTATTTACTACTAATTATGAAACTATGATAAATAGGTGATAATAGAATGTAGAGATGTATAGATTTCTGAAAGAGGTAAACCTGAATAGTCTTCAACAGAAATCAGGCAAGAAGGATAGGAAAGTATTAAAAAACAGAGCTGAAGCCAAACCAAAGAAGTGAGAGCAAGTTGATTTCCTTTATTGCCAGAGTTTAGAGATGGTGAAGACTGTATTTAGAGATGGTTAAGGCCGAGTCCCTTTCTTGCCTTTACACTCTTATTAACTTGTATTAGATGCTGCGCAAAGAACTTTGGATTTTACCATATATGCAATGGAGAATCCCTGAAGGACTTGAGAGTGTACCTTGACAGTGAAAAAGAATAAAATGTGGGTTCAGGGTGTAGCTCAGTGGCAGAGTGCCTGCCTAGTATGTGTGAGGCCCTGGGTCAATGGCTGTTACCAGAGATTTAAAAAAAAAAAAAAAAAAAAGAATACCTAAAATGCAGACATGAATTTTAAAAACATTTCTCTGCCACAGTGGCATAGAGGAGGGTAGAGGAGCACCAACAATAATTTTACAGGAGTAATTTACCTGAGGAAAAAAATGAGGGTGTGGGGATATAGCCGACAGTAAAGCAGAAAGACAGGAAGGGTTCTGACCAAAAGGATAGGGAAAATAAAAGAAAATGAGGACCACATATCCTGGTTTGCATAGGACAGTTCTGATTTACACCTATTCTCTTGGAGTAGTTATTACTAGAGCTCCCTTTTATTCTTAAAACAGTTTCAGTCTGAATGATACATTATATCAATTGCTTTACCATTGACATTCAGCTGTCTGGCTGGTTTATCTGGCAGACCCTGATGTCTCTAGATAAGATTAATAACAATCAGAAATCAAGAATATGATGAGTTTAGATGGTACTTTTTTTGGTTTATGATGCATAGTGATCTGGTAATATGCATTTGAGCATCATTAGTCTACATGTAGAAACTCAAAATATGGGTAGATGAAGTAATCTAGATAGAATATATAGCACAAGAGATAAAAAAAAAAAAAGGATCAGCAATATTTATGAAAAGAAAAGAGAACATATAAATAATGACTGAGAAGGAAATCAGAAATATACCTTAGAGAAAGTGAGCCCATAGAAGCCAAGGAAGAGTTTCAATAAAAAGAGGGTAACAGTGTCAAATATTTCACAGAAGTGAAAACCAGTGTTCACTGGGTGTTATGGCATGTGCCTCTAGTCCTAGCTACTAGGAAAGCTGAGGTAGAAGGAGGATCACCTGAGCCTAGAGAATTTGGAACCAGTCTTTGCAACACAGTATTTGTTTGTAAGAACCATGTCTTACAAATACACACAACAGTGTTTGACCTACTAAGGTCTATCACATAAAACGGACTAAATGAATATTCACCTATCATTTTCACCAGCATGTCACCCTTGACCCCCTTTGGTCAATTTCAAGTATACTCCAGAAAAATGTAAAATAAATGTTAATTTTTAAAAATCTATTTCTTCTACATTTTTCTTATTGTTCTGAGTTCTTCATTTTAAAAATATCTTTAAACAGTTCATTTGTATTCAATTAAACTTCTCTATTAACTTTATTTTTCTTTCATTCTACTTCATTAAGGCATTAAAGACAAGAAAAGTCACTATCAAGATTGTTGTGTGAGTGGGTTTTGGTTTTTAACAAGCAAATTCCAGGGCTGCCAGGGCTGCATTAATATGATCAGTAGAGTCAAATTTCTGATACTTTGTAGAGCTAATACAATACAGTTAATATACAGAGAGAGTGAGAACAAATACAGTGAAGGCATCATAAGATGCTAAACATGATTAAGCTTAAAATCTCTACTGAAACAAGAAAGTATATGTACACAATTTAGAAAGATTTAAGAAGGATTAAAATAAAAGATTTTAATTGGATTGTAGGTAACCAAAAATCACAATTGCTTCTGAAATACTCTGGTTGATTGACAGATTCTATACAAACAATAGGAGGAAAAGCCCACTTAGAAGAAAGGTCCAATGTTAAAGTGTGGTAGAAAAAAATAAAATCCTATCCCAGATTATAATTCTTCAAAACTGACACTTATACACTACAAACTACTGAATTGTACAATTTTTTTATAGTGTAGGGGATGAACTATACATTCTAAATAGGTGAATTTTATAGTATATGAACTATATCTTTATAAATCTGTTAGAACACACTAAGTTGTTGGTTTACGGGTGTAGCTCAATGGTACAGGACTTGCTTAGGATGCTCAAGACCCTGGGTTTGATCCCCAGCACAGCCAGAAAACAAAAAACTAAACAAAACAACCCTACAACAAGAAAAACCCACAAAATACTATCCATGTTTTTCTTTGTAACGTATTAAGTACATTCATGTTGTTATGGAACCAGAACCTCTTTCATCTTGCAAAATTAAAACTGACCCATTAGACAATAAATCCCCATTCCCTCTTCCCCTTAGCCTCTGGCAACCACTCTCTCTTAAGATTTTAAGTGTTTATAATAAGGTGAAATTCTTACCAGATTATGTATAATATTTGTTAAGGTCCAAGCAACAGGAACACTGAAGAAAGGAATGCTGAGTAAGACAATATGGAGCAAGCCAACTCCCAATGCATATGTCAGCCACATACCCCGGCTGTTCATTACACGGGTATTTGGATTCACTTCACTGTGGGCAACTCCAACATTCATGTTTGCTCTGAAGAGAAAAAATAAACAGTGATATAGCTGGAAATCTAAATACTCCTAATTCTGACACAATGAAATATTACCAGGATTACTTTTCCTTGTTATTCTGAAATAGAACACACACCCTCCAAAATGTGCTACTTGCAGATGCTGGTATAGGCAGCAAAGAAGCTTTAATATCTTACTTAACGGTAAGATAAACAAGACTTATTTTTATGGTTCCCTTTCCTAAAACTTGTCTTCTAAGATGTCAGTTTTAGTGAATGAAATAATGGACAGGAAAACTCAAACTTAAAAGAGAAATGTCTATTTTTTTTTTTTTACATTATGAGCACAGTTAAGCCATGAGCTAAATTTACCAACAGAATAAACATTAAAAAAAAGAAAAAGGGGGGAAAAAAAAAAGAACCGACATAGCCAGTCTGTTCTGAGTAGTGAGATGCTTATATCTAATGTAATGTTGTACCCATGCAGTAGTCAATGAGTTCAAAGCACTCCTTTTTGAGTACTGAACCTGGAAAGAACATGTTGATATAATGTGTAAAATTTATGTGGTCAGGGATAGGTTTGTTTCTCAATTTTGTGACACACTAGATTTAAAAAAGCAATAAATCTTTCTTCCGAATATTTCAATAACTCTAAAACTTTAGTTTTTCTTCCTTTTTTGAAAGTTTTCCCTTCCTCTTTTATATTCAAAATAAACACCAAAGTAAAAAATGACAGTAGCCCTCAGTCATTTTAATTATGTTTACTTAGGTCTAAGAATTCCTTAAACAATATCAAATTGTCCTAAAGAATATCTATTAGAAGTCTAAGAAGGGGGGAAATGGGGTTAGATTACATTTTAAGAACCCCCCATTAAAAATATACATTGACTCTTTTTTACTACAGAGCTAGCAAAGAGGAATTTTTTCATAACCATATCCTAGCAAGTGTTTCTGGAATATAATGTCCTTTTACTCTGTCAAGATCTATGGAATAGGCATCAAGGCTTAAGGTGATGAAAGTTAGTTACACTAAGACAAAAGTTAGTTTCGTGTGTAAATATTTCTTCTACTATAAAAACCCATCATTTATGGTACCTTATTTTTAAATTTTATAAATTGTACTTAGAACATGACTTAAGATAGTTTTCCCAATTTCCACACTGTCTTCGCAAACAATTTTCGAAGGAGGCCTAAAATTCACATGTCAGCGGCAGGCAAAGCTGGGGTGGTACTGATCCTACTTCAGTTCGGAAACCATTGCCAGCAGGTGTGCCGCGCCTCTCGACTGCCCGCAGACGATGACTTCTCAGACAGTGAAGAGACTCTCAGCTCTGTCCAGGCCTTTGGCGAGGGCGACGCGCAGCGGCCCGCATTGGAACTCCCCAGCCTACCAGACAGCCCCGGGAAGCCTCCAGGCGGGTGGAAACCCCCACCCTGACTTCGTTGTCGCGTCGCACCTCCTGTCACGGCCACGGCACAACAGCAAGGGTTTGAGGGAGAGTACCTACGGCCGCTTAGCCGGCAGGGCCGGGCAGAGCGCCCCGGGTGCAGCCCGGGCCCCTCTCCACGTAGTAGATCCTGGGCCTCCAGAAGCTCGCTCCCAGCCAAGACAACAGCACAGCCCCACGCGCTGGTATCCACTTACCCGCAGCCCGGTTCCCGGCGGCCGGCACGGCGCAAGAGTAACCCAGCGGCAACCTCAGCTTACGCTCACGCTACGAAAGCCAAGTCTGCCCCAGCGCGGCGCGGCGCGTGCCGACGCCGTCCTAGCGCACTCACCGCCAGGGGATTGGCCGCCAGCAGCGCCAGTCCCGCCTCCCCGGGCAAGGCGGGACTAAGAGGCGCGCGGTGCCCTTCCCGCAGCACGCGTGCGCTAAGGGCTAGCGGGGCAACTCTAGTGGACGGGCCTGGGTTCCGCGAGGGACGCTGGCTGCTTGCCGCTGGTGGATGGTAATTGCCTACCTTGCGCGAGCTGGAAGACAGTGTCTTGTGCCTAATGGGCATTAGTTCTGATATACTGGTAGGCTCGACGGTTCCCTCTCCTCGATTTGTCTTAGTCGGAGCGTGAGCGCAGCAGGCCGCGGTGGGCGCCTCCTCCAGGGGCGGGAAGTGGGTGTAGCGGAGCTGGGCGCCTCAGTGCCTTGCTTTGAATTTTGTTGCAGTGCATTTCCCAAACCTTCTTGGGTACAGGTTTTATAAATTGTTTCCTAGCAGAAAATTTAATCCACCACAGCCGTAACTAGTCTTGCAAGCGAGTGTGACGTATTATAACGTAATTTGGTGACCTGCAAGGGGTACAGGTAAAGTCTTCATTTAATCCTTATTTTTGCCGATGTCTTTCGGCGTTTATCTCTATTGAGAACGGGCACCAGTGTTACATCCTGAGGAAATGTGGATACCAAAAACTGATCTTATTTGAGGAGTGAGAGGAAACTTGATTAGTTTTTGGAATCGTCTTTGAAATCAAATTTCCTTTACCTTCGCAGTATGTAAAGCTTGTGATTTTCGTTGCTGAAATATTTCAGAAACATTTCAGAGTTGATTTTGGAGAACGTTGGTTATCTGTATGTAAATATTTTGTATTTCTGTTGGTTCTGTGAAAACAATTGGGTTAGATTTATTTTGTTCTTTAAATAATTTGTGTTCTCCTTAAAATCTGTGAATTCTCTGATCTCTACTTTTCTTTCTGTAGTCCTTAACTGACTTTCCTGGTCCTCAGCTCTTTATGAGTATTCAGTTTTCCTCTCAACACAAATGAACGACTGACTATCCTGACATTCTCAGACATTCTATTCTATTCTATGCTGTGACTTGGAAGCCTGACACCAACCCTTCTACTTTTAAAAAGAGGTCATTTGATACACATGGTAGAATGCTACATTCTAGGGACAAGTGATTATAAAAACTACATCCTTAAAGCACTCTGAACCTGGAGGAAGGGACAAACAAATAGAATAATTTGGGATGAGTTTGAGTTAAAAATAAAGAAAAGGTATTACAGAGGAAGAAATGTCTAATTTACTGGTGATTGAAGGGAGTAGGAGTTGGAACAGAAAAGAAAGGCTTTCTTGAGGATACTTAACCCAAATCTGTAAGACTGATTATCCTCTTAGGAAGAAGGAACCCTGTGAGCTAAGGGAGTGAGTTTACTATGTTTAGAGAGACAAATTGTGTAGGAGGACTCGCCTTGGGAATGGTGGGATGAGATAAGAAAGGTAGATAAAGATCCAGTTATTAAGGAGTTTGGATTTAATCTAGTTAGTGGTTGGAAATCTTATAAAAATTTTAAGGTAGCAATGTGATGAAATTTAAATGAAAAATAAATAATGGAAGGTTGATATTTGAGTCACAGTATTAATTAGGTGACAACTATAGTAGGTCAGAGGAGAAATGTTGAGCTGGTGAACAGTCAGTATGCAGAAGATTATTTTGAGAAATATTTAGAAAGTAGGATAGATAGGACTGGATGCCAGGTGGTAGAGGGTGAGAATTGCTATGATGTCTTTAATTTCTAAATTTTGTTTTGTGTGTCTGGATGGAAAGTCTACAGTGGAACTGTCCTTTGAAGTTAAACATGCCAGAGTGTCCATCTGCCTTGGACACTCTGGCATATAATAGTGGTGTGATCTTGAGCAATATATCAAGCCTTTAAGTCTCATTTGTAATGGAAGAATAATAATATATGAGGGTATATTGTGAGGATTAAATGAAATAATGTATATGAAGTTTTTATGTTAGCTCTTCTTATTATTACAAACAAAATATAGGAAGAAAGTTCATTAGAGAAAGATTATGAGATTGTTTGGGGGCATAATAAGTTTAGGTTGCCTCCAGATTATCTAAATGATGGTATTTAGAAAGTAGGTGAATCAGCCCTGGAGTCCAGAAAAAAAAAAAAATTGTTAGACGTTTGGGTGGATCAGGGAATAACATGGAGCCAGTTTAAAATTAAGTATGAGGTGTAAGCTCACTAGTGGATCACTTGTATGTTATGCACAAGACCCTCGGTTTGATCCCCAGCACCACAAAAAAAGAAAAAGTAAATAAAATCAAGCATATCTAGGGAAGGTAATGGTGACTTGATGGGAAGGGGGACACCATTTTAATGTTTATATTGGTGCAGGAAGAATGCTGATAAAATTACTTTCTTAGGTCTTTGGGATTTTCAAACTAAGGTAGAAGATTTTTTAACCCAATTCTAAATGATTAGCCACTACGTTACACAGTGTAGCTCTATACTCTTAGACTTGGGGCCATTTTAAAGCTTTGGAAGAGGAGAGAAAGTGCCTTTTGTTTTGGATAGCACTAATTTGTGTGAATGTTATGATAATGGAGCTGCCTAATTGTTCTGTGTTTGTCCACCAGATGAGATGACTAACTAAGCTTCCAACCCTGGAGAGCCACAAAAGATCATTGAGAAGTAGCTATTCATAGCTGCTTCTCTTAAAACTGTGTTCTCCAAAACTAAATCAAATGTATAGATTAATTAGATAGTAATTGTTAGTATTAAAAAATTCCAGCATTTCTTTACATAATGATTTCTTGTCATAATACTGTACATTTTAAGCCCTTACCATTTTATATATGCTGTCTAATTTGATCCTTACAATAAGTCATGAGGCGTTATCTCTCTTTTTACAAATGAATTATTTTTACAGAGGAATTTAAGTGATTTGCTTCTGTTGATGTGTAAGAAGATGAATCCCAAGACCTATTTGTTTTTTTGCTGTTTGTCTTCGGTCTGTTAGTTTTTCTGCTGTGCCAATTAGTATTGCCTTATGTTTGTAAAATATACTTATGAATTTTTGACTATTTAACACCCTCAAAACCCAATATGTTACCTTTTTTCCCAGACATACATCTCTTAAAATCTTGCTGTTATAATGCCTATACTCCATTTTTTGTTGAGTTACTGATACTTATTTTACATTCTTCCTTTATGTGGCTTATTTATCTTACATTGCCTGAGAAGGAATTTTAAATGTATTTTTTTTTCATTGCTATTTTGTTTGGAACTAGATTCCTTAGAATGAAATCATCATATGAGCATGTATCTAGTCATGCTAAATTAAGAAAATACTAGGGTTCCTTCATCTCCTTTTTTTTTTTTTTTTTTTGATCTAAGAAAAACCTTAACTCTTTGGAGAAGTTGGATGTTGTCAAGCTAGTATTTATTTTCCTATATATATATATTTTTTTTTTCTGAAATTAGGCAGTAAGGCAGGAGCAAAGCTCCCTCCCTGCATGTTTTAAATATGGAATTTCCATTAAAGATTTTTGAGGTGTTTTGTTTGTTTGAGCAAAGGGTTTTATAGCTAAAACATGGATCTGCATGTAGTATCAGCATATAATGGATCTTGGATTCCAACACAAGATTTGAGCTTTATCTCTTATCATCTTTGTGCTGCCAAATGATTAGAATGATGTTTTAGGCAGAGTAATGTGGAGGGTAGTTATGGTAGCTATCTGACATATATGGGATCTGACTAGTTCAGATTAATGGTAATCCTAGACAGCCTAACTCCAAAAAAGCTCACTGGTTAAAAAGGCATTAAGTCTTTAACATATATGGGTGAGAAATCATGTTTAAATTAAACTGCTGTTAAACTATGTGATTGACTGTAATTCTCACATTGCAAAGTGACAGGACCACTTACTCATTTCTAGCCAGGCAGATCATACATTATACTCATTATAGCACAATTGCTGTTCTCTTTCTTCATTTATTACCATAGTGTGATTTACCAAATATTTACATTTAAGAAATATTTTCAGAACACATTTGTCTCCACGATTCCAGTGTGCCTTCAGTGATTTGTAATGAGTATGAACCAGGGCATACTTGATATATAGACACTTAAGGAAATAAAAATTTCTAACTTACAAGAAATCACTAGGCCCAGTCAATCTCTCAGGCTTTTCTTTTTAACCTCTGTCAACCTAAAACACAAAACAAAACAAAACAAACAAACAAAAAAAAACAACAGCAACAACAGCAATAAGATCCAGTGATTCTCTAATATTTATTTGGGAATATCATTGCCAAATTTATATTTATATGGGAATAGTGGTAATAGCAGAGAAAAAGAGAAATGTAGATAGCAATTACAGCAACACAAAATGCTGGGAAAAATAAGAAAAACAATTTGCTCATAATGTGGATTTTTTTTTTTTTAATCCATGTGTTGCAAAAATTACATGAAGATTTTAAACAGCTCTTGGAGCAGGTATTTGTGAGTTAGAATAGAAAGTAGCAGTGAGGGAAAGAGCATAGGTACCTTTTTATTCCCCATGCCAGTAAGAAATTATGAACTTATAATAAAAGTATAATAAGCCTGTCTTGTCTTTTATTTAGGATAAGGGGTCAATTTTGCCCTATTCTATATGTCTACATCTATGACTATCTATGTTTCAATGTATATTTGTCTGTATCTGATCATGTACATAGGTATCCATAGGGGTAAAGATATAGAAAGCAGATGTAGAATTATTTTAATCAAAGATTAAATAGCATTTCTTATTTCCTTTCAAAATAGTCAAGCAGCCTGAAAAGCAATAGGAAAAAAAAAGGCAAAGGGATTTCAGTTAATACTGCATTTTCATGATCCATTAATATTTATTTCTGTAAGAAACAATGTAAAACAAATATCTTGTCTTCTGATATTTAGGACTCATTTGGGGATGATTATGAACAACAGCTTTAACTTCACAGTTGGAAATGTTGCAAACTACGATCTCCTGCTTTCAGGGCACTTAGATGCAATTAATACCAAGACCAACAAATGAAATAAAGTAATAGAAGAGAATACCTTAGAAAAGCTAAATATGTTACATGCTAAAAGTGCTACAGAAGTGACAATTTAAGGAGAACTATAAAATCCATCTTTTTCCTCACCACTGAGAGTACAATCCCATTTTCTATTAGTATTGAAAATGGCTCAAGTCCCTCCACATAAAAAATAAAATGATTTCTGCTTAGGTTTTTGAAACTGCTTTGGTCATTTTGGGGGGCGGGGTGGGTACTAGGGATTGAACTCGGGGGCACTTAAGCACTGAGCCATATCCCCAGTCCTATTTTATATTTTAGAGACAGTGTCGCACTGAGTTGCTTAGTGCATCGCTATTGCTAAGGCTGGCTTTGAATTTTTGATCCTCCTACCTCAGCCTCCTGAGACACTGGGATTACAGGTATGTGCCACTGCACCCAGTTTGGTCATTTATTTATAAGAGGTAATAAGATTACCTATCAATAGAGGAAGTTTTGAATGACTTGCCTGTATTTAAGTCTCAGCTATGCCTCTTAATTAAATGACCTTGTACAAGTTTTCTTCTCTGTGCTTCAGTAGTAGTATAAAATGCAGATGATTGAATAACACCTATTTCAGAGTGTATTGGTATAAGCTGGGCATGGTGATGCACACCTATAATCCTAGAGGTTTGAGAGGCTAAGGCAGGAGGATCAAGAATTCAAAGCCAGCTTCAACAATTTAGTGAGATCCTAAGCAATTTAGCAAGACCCGGTCTCAAAATATAAAAAGTACTGGGGATGATATGGCTCAGTGGTTATGTGCCTCTGGGTTCAATCTCTGGTACCCTCCCAATAAAGAAAATGTTATTGGTATGAAATAAATCATTTAATACTGCATATGCTTTAAATAGAGCCTGGCATACAGTAAGGCTAAATAACTGTGAGCTGTTATTACTATTATTGTTATTTTTATTACTTCTATTAGTATTGTTTAACAATTCTTATTTTTATTTTTTTTTTTTTTCTTCATTTTTTTTTTCAATTCTTATTTTTATAACTTGCATTTTTATCTTCTAGCTATTCTGCTAAGCATTAGAATGAAACAGTTGCCTGCAGCAACAGTTCGTCTCCTTTCAAGTTCTCAGATAATCACTTCAGTAGTCAGTGTTGTAAAAGAACTCATTGAAAACTCCTTGGATGCTGGTGCTACAAGCATAGATGTGAAACTGGTGAGTTTTCTTGAAAGATACTAAGAAAGGAGCTTTGTAGATCTTTCCTTCTTTCTTTGTGCCAGCAAATTACACATAGGATATTTGTCCTAAGAGCAAGTTCCTAAAATTGAATTTTTATTCAAGTCAATAATATAGTAACACTGAAGGAAATTATAATAAAACATGTATTTCAGGACTCAGTCACCTAAAACATCCTTTTAATGTTAGTATTTTCTAATATTTCTCTTTGGTTATTCTTGTTTACTTCTTTCATATATTCCTCTTTGCATTTTATTTTCCCACCTAATTTTGTTTCAAAACCATTCCCATTATTACTTTAATTTTGGCATTTTAAGTGCTGCATATTAAAATCATTAAATTAATATGCCTTGGAACATTCGTTATGATTTTTTGCATTGTTTACATGCTCATTTCCCCTACTCTAAATTGCAAGTTCATAGTAGTAAGCTATATTTTATTCATTTTTGTGTCCTTTATAACTAGCCAGTTCCTAGCACTTTTTAGGAAAGTAAATAAATTTCTTTGAATGTTTGAATACTTTTTTAAAAATCTCTTAATTATCGGATATTTGTGTTATTTCTAGTATTTTGGCATTATAAATAATGTTGATTATAATATCAACATTATAGGAAAGGGATTTTATCTTTTTATATGACTTTATATATGACAGATTTTGCTTAACAATCAATCTTAGGGAGGTAAATAAATATCTTGTTCTTTTTTTTTTGTCTCTAAAACATGTATCCTGTTTTTAATTGTCTCTGGAAGAAAAATAATTGTTCATTATAGTTATGTAATTGTGGTGTTCATTTTGACATATTCACAAATTCATTGTAGAAAAGGATTTATTGTAGGAAAGAGATCTAATCTTATCAGATAAGATTCTATGATATATCTATAAAACCTGAATATAAATACTGTTTATTGGTAAATAAATACTGTTTATTGGTAAATAAATAGTAATAGATTGGTAAACTATTACTACACCCATTTTACAGATAGTAAATGTTCTGTTTTTTAGTTTTTTAGTTATAGATGGACACAATACCTTTATTTTTGAATGTGGTGCTGAGGATCAAACCCAGTGCTAGGCAAGTGCTCTACCACTGAGCCACAATCCCAGCCCAGAGAGTAAATGTTCTGAAAAATAGTAATGGAGCTAAAATTGGAATTCAGTCTTTCTGATTCATTCAATATCTTTCCTCTATACTAGTGGTTCTCACAGTGTTTGGGTGAATCAGATTAAATTAGAAGATTTGTTAGATAACGGGCTCTACTTCTGAGACTTGTGATTCTTGGAGGGGCTTGAGAATTTGCATTTCTAACAAATTTCTAGTTGAAGCTAATGCTACTATATAAGCTTTCTAACAAGTTTCTAGTTGCTACTGATGCTGCTATAGAATTGCTCTTCTATATCAAACCTGTATTGGGTTTTTAAATAATACCCTATAAACTTTATAAACATGAAAAAATGTATATCAAGTTAAACCCAAAAAAGACAATTTATTTTTCTTAAGCATTTCATATAATCAGTTTAGTCTGATTAGAGTACAATTGATAATAACCAAATAGGATTATATCTTTATATATGACAGATTTTGCTTAAGAATCAATTTTAGGCAGGTAAACAAATATCGTGTTCTTTTTTTTGTTTGTTTGTTTCTAAAACATGTATTTTATTCTTAATTGTCTCTGGAAGAAAAATAATTGTTCATTATAGTTAGTAATTGTGGTATTCATTTTGACATTTACAAATTCATATAACATAATTTGCTACATTTCAATTACCAGTACTTTCCCTTTCCTTCCCTTACCCTTTTCCCTGATCTCTTTCCTTTACTGGTCTTTCTTCTATTAACTTTTTTTTCAATTGATACATTATAGTTGTACATAAAAATGGAATTCATTGTGTATATTAATATGTATATACCATAATTTAGTAGAATTCCACAGTTCCTTCCCTTTCCCATCCTTCTTCTCTCTGCCTTGATCCCTTTCTTCTAATCTACTCTTCTCTTTTCTATTTTTATGAGATCCTCTTTTTAAAAAAATATCTTATTTCTCTCTAGGTGTTTTCATTTCTAGTCTTGTAAGGATTCTTTATACTGCTTTCCAGAGTGTTTGTACTAATTTGCAGTCCCACCAACAATGCATGAGTATACCTTTCCCTCCACATTCTAGTCCACATTTGTAGTAATTTGTATTTTTAATGATTGCCATTCTAACTGGAATAAAATCTAACTAAGATAAAATCTCAGCATAGTTTTGATTTGCATTTCCCTCATTGCTAAAGATGTTGAATATTTTATCATATATTTGTTGGCTATTTATATTTCTTCTTTTCAGACATGTCTCTTTAGTTCATTTGCCTATTTATCACCTGAGTTTTTTGTTTTTTATAAATATAGATTATTAAACATAATTTATTAGAAATACCCGTGATAGTGAAACAAGTCAAAGAACCATTAAAGATCAGACTGTCCTTTTATTTTATAGTCAATTTCAGTCTAGAGAAAACAAGGGATTTATTCATGTACCATAATTAGTAGAACTGAAGACTTTAAATTCTTCTTTCCATAGTGTGAATGAATGAGCTGGGTGCCACCACTCAGACCTGTTCCAGACCAACCTGGGCAACTTGGTAGACTGTGCAGCAATTTGGCAAGACTGTCTCAAAACTTAAAAAAAGGATTGGGGATGTAGCTCAGTGGTAAAGAGCCCTTGAGTTCTGGCCTCAGTACCAAAAAACAAAAAGACCAAATTATTTGATTTGTGTTTGTTTCTAAATATGATCACAGTTTAATGTTTTTATATATTAAAAGTGTTTTTAACTTTGTAGGAGAACTATGGATTTGATAAAATTGAGGTTCGAGACAATGGTGAGGGTATCAAGGCTATTGATGCACCTGTAATGGCAGTGAAGTACTACACCTCAAAAATAAACAGTCATGAAGATCTGGAAAATTTGACAACCTATGGTTTTCGTGGGGAAGCCTTGGGGTCAATTTGTTGTGTTGCTGAGGTAAGGTCATTTATATTATAGACAATTTTAGTATTACATAATAACAGAATATTAGAATTAAGAGACATCTAATCCAGTACTTGGAAAAGATGTAAAATTTCTTACATTTTATATTAAGGTATATTTAACATAAAGTATTACCATTTTAAGCATTTTTAAGTGTGCAGCTAAGTAGCATCAAATACATTCACAGTGTTATATACCCATCAACACTACCATCTGCAGAATTTTTCATCATCCTAAACTGATTCTCAGTACCCATTAAAGAATGATTCCCTTTTCCTTTTTCCCATCCTCTAATAACCACTATCTTGCTTTCTGTCTATGAATTAAATGTTCAGATACCTTATATATATGGAATCATACTGTATTTGTCCTTTTTTTGTCTCACCTAATATAATATAATAATGTCTGCAAGGATAATGTCTTCAAGGTTTGTGAACATTGTGACATGTATCAAAATTTTGTGTGTATATCACATTTATATCCATTCATCTGTAGGTGGATACTTAGGTTACTTTCACCTTTTGACTTTTATGGATAATGTTGCTCTTAACATGGGTGTACAAACATTTGTTCAAGTTTCTGCCTTCACATCTTTTGGGTATACACATAGAAGTGGGTTTGCAGTGTCATGGTAATTCTATCCATATTCTTTGAGGAACAGCATTGTGTATTTTGCAATGTTAATACTTACTAGAGGAAAATGTTTAGTAGCCCTTTGGCTTGGAAAAGATGTATTTTAAAAGTTAAAGATACTTATCTATAGGATTTTTTAGTCATCATCATAGTAAAGCATATTGTGAATCTTTTTTTAATATTTATTTTTTAGTTGTAGTTGGACACAATATCTTTATTTTATTTATTTGTTTTTATGTGGTGTTGAGGTTTGAACCCAAGGCTTTGCATGTGCTAAGTGAGTGCTCTACCGCTGACACAACCCCAGCCCACAATGTGAATCTTTAAAAGTAGTAGTTTATGGTACTTTTCCCTACATCTCCTTCATCATGAAACTCTTATTAAGAAGAATATTGGGCTGGGGATGTGGCTCAAGCGGTAGCACGCTCGCCTGGCATGCGCATGGCCCGGGTTCGATCCTCAACACCACATACAAACAAAGATGTTGTGTCCACCGAAAACTAAAAAATAAATATTAAAATTCTCTCTCTCTCTCTCTCTCTCTCTTTAAAAAAAAAAAAAGAAGTATATTACTGGGCTGGGGTTGTGGCTCAGTGGTACAGTGTTCACCTAGCATGCGTGAGGCACTGGGTTCAATCGTCAGCACTACATAAAAATAAAATAAAGGTATTGTGTCCACCTATAGCTAAAAAATAAATACTAAAAAAAAAAAAGAAGCAGCATATTACTGTTATTTGTTTTTTCAGTACTGGGCATTGAACCCAGGGCCTTATACATGCCAGGCAAGTATTCTACCAGTAGAGCTACATTCCTAGTTCATATTACTGTGTTTTTGTTTGTTTGTTGCTCTATGGAACCCACACTGGAAGTTCCACTTTGGTCACTACAGATAATGAGGTTGAATCTAGAGGTGTGAATTAGCTTATTCTAAACTATAGATATCTAGGGGCAGATTGGATACTAGAACTTTACTCTTCTGACTGCTGGTTAGGTTTTTGTAATGTTTACAAACCCCTTAGTTCAGTGCCTGACACATTCAGTTGTATCATACCAATTGTATTACACTTCCTCTGTCCCAGATTTTATAACTAGTTTGTGGCAAAACTTTTCTATAACCTTGATCTCTGCATTTCTATGTGTCTTATTTGTGTTTGGTTACCTGACTTTACTAGTTTCTTTATGCTATACTGTTACTCTGTGGCTGGTGGTCTCTGTTTTATTGTGTGACAGTATCTTTACGCCAGTAAAGGTGACAGGGCGATTATGAGGGTCTGTTTGTGTAATTTTTGAGGTTTGCCTAGTTGTGTTTAAGATGAAATATCTTATTTAGATGAGAATGGCCATGTGTAGTAAAATGATAGCGTTTGATAACTATTGTTTAGGAAAAGTGGTATGGACATGACATATTGTTGCTGTCTTTTGTTCTGGTTTTTGGGCATGTGTTTAGTAGCCTGATCTTCTCAGCAGTGATGTGTTCTCCAGATTCATGTGGTCCTTTCTTTGGCCTTCTGCCTTTGAAGTGCTGGCATAGTTTAGGTTTTCTCCATTTTTTGTGAATAGGGTCCTAGCTAGGTATACACTTTCTCTTTGACTTTGGGGCTCTATAAGGTATTGTCTTAAGTAGACCAGAAAAATGTCAGAGATGGTACAGTTTAAGTGGGAGATTTGGCTGTTGTAGCATAGTAGACAAAGTTCTGTCCCTTGTTGGCAGCCAGATGTTCAGTTTTCCATAAAATAAGAAATCCTTAAGTGTGCTCATAAAACCTCTACCCAAAATCTAGCACACCATGTGCTTCTTTATCTTACTTAACACTTGCTTTATTTAGAATTCACTGAACCTTCAAATAGATTTTGGAGAAAAAAAAAGAGGAGGGTACATCTGCATATTGCCCATCTTTCTCATCAGAGAACTTATATGGGAACCTGTAGCCCTGGGTCTTGTACATAAAGTTAGTTTTTAAAATGGAGGTTCTTTGAACCTCCCAGTACTGGTACTGTTGTTTGAGTTTCTTGTGACTATTTTAGAACATAAATATTGATATACATGTAGTTTAGCTGTTGTAAAAACTGGCAGATATCTTTTAAGTGTTATTTTGGTAGAGTATTGTTAGAAAAGATAATTTGGCACATCTATGTTTTATTCTAAAAGATACATTTACGCTTTCAGAGACAAAATCAGACATAACCAATTTTGCCTGCTAGATGGCAGCACTACACTTAGTCTTTATAAATATGTTTTACATGAGCTGTGTAATTTATCCAGATTTTCACTGTAGTTCTGATTTTACACTGCAGATTTGCAAGTTTTGCCCATGAGTCATTTTATCTTGTTTTTGTATGTGATTACTTAAGCCAACTTGACATCTGTGTTTATCAATTTTGTCTTATTTTTGAGGTATTAAAGTGTTATTGAATAATAACTTTTAGAGTAATTTTGCTCATTAGAATCATAAAAGAATTGTCAAAGTATCACAATAATAGAAAACTAAACTTTTTAAAGAAAGTTTGCAGTTTCCACATTGCAGTGCAAAACATTTGTTTATATTTAAAAATATTAATAGGATTTCACAGAATTCTCTTTCTTTGAAATCTTTGAGGAAACTACACAGGTGTGTGTGTGTGTGTGTGTGTGCGCGCGCCACACACAGTAAATTTTTGCATATATACTCAAGATTAAGATAAAGGTTGTTATCAGCACCCTAGAAAGTTCTCTCAGGTCCCCTCCCTGTCAGTATCTCAGAAGAATCCACTATTCTGACCTCTGTAAACACAGATTAGTTCTGCCTGTTTTTGAACTTGATATAAATGGAATCTTGAGGCATGTATTATTTTGTCACAGTTTTTTGATGATGATTTAGGTTTGATTGTACCTGAAAGATAAAGGAAAGATATAATTGGAAGCGACCCTGGTAGGACTAATAGACCATAGTGCACTGCCCAGATCCCCAACTTTAGTACTGGTTACTATAAAGAATACTGAGTGAGTGTTCACAACTGAATTTCCATTTGGAGTTTGCCCTTGCTTCACTGAAGAGAGTTACCTTATCCAGGTCATGCAGAGCAACCTACATCCAGTAACTATTTTGGTTCCAGTTCAGGATAGCTCTGCCCTATTCCCGCAAGTGATCACTCAGAGTACTCCTCAGTAAACATCTGTTCACTACTCTGTGTCCCCAAATCTTCATGGGTAAGCCTACCTACAGTTTAGGTGTTCTCTGGCTCAGTGTCTTTATATTACTGATGAGGAAACTGGGGTGTGGTGAGGCCAAATGCCAAATCTTTGTACCACAACTTCAAAATATCCTCTAATAATCATTTAACTAACATTTGATTGTCTCCTATATGTGCAGGGTGCTGTGCTAGGTAGTTTATTTCAGAGAAGCTGTGTGCAGTGAAGTAAACGTAACATGAAAATTGTGACCTATTCAGAGACCCATAGTATCTACATGGCTAAGCTAAGAATACAGTTTCAATTTCATGCCTCTCAGAACTGAGATCTTGCCTTCTTACCAGCATGGTTAGAAAGGGAATTATAAGTTTAAAACTTAAAAGTTTTAACCTTTTGAGGGAAAATGTTCACTTTCTAAACTTGCTATTCTTCGTCATTCAGAAAGAAATAAGGTTTCATGTATAAAAATTGCTTATTTCTATTTGTTTAGTACAGTACTGGGTCTGCTACTGATCTTCATCTCTAGTCTTTTTTATTTTTTTTATTTTGAGACAGGGTCTTCCTAAGTTGCCCAGGTTTTCCCAGAACTTTCAATATTTTAAAGGCTCTGGTTTATTTTGAAATTTTGTAGATAGAATTACAGTTACATAATAAAAATTAGTGATTTGGTTATTTTGTCTACTAAATTATTTGATGTAGATAATTAGGTAATTTTAAAGTCTTATGTTTGTAAACCATCCAAGGTTCAATAGATTGATAATATATAACTGGTATATAGTTTTGTCATATTGTTAAATGACTCTCAACTTGAATTTCAGTTGTTAAATTTACTTTTTTAGATGATTTTACATGTTAATATTTTAAATTATAAAAAGGGAAGTGAAGTTAGTCTCCCAGCAAAACTAGAAATATGAAGTGCACCTAATTCTGTTGTGTTTTCTTTTTTGCTATGGTGGATGTCAAACCCAGGGACTTGTGCATGTTAGCAAGTGCTCTGCCATGGAACTATACCTCCAGCCTGCTAATTCTGTATCCTTTATTTATATACATGACAAAAATAAGCAGTTTTCCCAATTCATCAATTTTAAAATAACTTCCAGTTTCAGACTTTAACAGACCAAAGGAGTAAAGCACTTCTTTTTACATTTGCAGAGTGAACTATTAATATTTAAAAATTAAATTGCTTCTTCTGTAACCTATGATGAATGTTTCAGTTACTGACACAAATTGGCTAATTTTTTTTAAATCGTATCAATAAGCATAACTTCTTGAAATTTGTGGTTGATAGAAAAATAATTTTGAGATATTTGTCATTCTTCACTGTTAGCATAACGATTGGAATGAACTGGAAGTCGTGAAACTTCTGTTCATAGAAATTTTTGTAAGGACTTTTTTGTATATGTTCTTCCTTTTACATAATAAAACATACTCCTTTTAGGTTGATATTATAAATACATTATATAAATTATGCTTTTCTATCCACGTTTAAGAAACTTGTTTAATTTTTTGAACTAGATTTTGAATGAAAACTAACTTATACCTTTGTTTTAGGAAGAAATAGAATAGTTTTGCATTGTTTTCTGAAAATCAGATCAAGCTGAACCTAGGAATCAGAGTTCTAATTCTAAATCCCAAGTGTTTGAATAAGAGATTTGGCCAAATGCATAAAATGGACTAACTTTTCATACAGTCATTTTTTTCCTCCATCGATAAAGTAAGGATAATGAATTGAGGATAAAAAAAATACTACATATTAAACTATCTTGACTGTTGTCACGTATCATGCAAATGAAAGTTATTTTTACTTTGGACTTCAATGTGAAGAGCAGTATACAGCTTTATCATCCAGGTGATGATTTGCTTATTCTCTTCATCTGTCTGTAGTATTTCACCTTATCATCCAAAGTTTACATAGACTTCTCCATATTTTGGGGAAATTCTTTCTGAAAATTCATAGCCATTCATAGATAAATTCTAATTTTCACCAAAGTTCTTCATTTTTTTGCATGAAGTTTGTTTTTTTTAAAATTCAGGATAGCACAGGATCTGTAGGTTTGATTTTGTTATACATCAAGGTAAGCCTCCGTGGCTTATTGGGGCAGACTGAGACATTAAGTCATACTGTTTGGAAGATAGGAGTTGGGATTCCTTATTTGTGGGTCCTCACAGCTGTAAAGGAATAAAGAGAAACCTCTACCATTACTGGTTCTAGATGAAGCAAATGATCCTGGTTCCTTTTTCTCAGTGTAGGCTGCCCCTATGTCCTTTATAGCTATGGTGGTTAGAGATTTAGTCAGGGTAAACATGGAAAAAAAAAAAATATATATATATATATATATATATATATATATCACTAAGTTGCTGAGGATCTCAGTTGTAGAGGTTGGTCTTGAACTTGTGATTCTCCTGCCTTAGCCTCCCAAATTGCTGGGATTACAAGTGTGAGCCACCGTACCTATCTGGCATAGAACTGCTTGAAGCATTTGGAATATTTTACTTTTTGATGCAGCCTCCTCACAGGTGATAGAACTCTGTTAAAAGGGGTAAAACCAACCAGGTGTAGTAGTGGTATACATCTATAATCCCAGCCACTTTTGAGGCTAAGGCAGGAGGATCACAAGTTTGATACCAGCCTGGACTACTTGGCAAGACCCCATCTTGGTTATCTTAGTTTTCAGACTCATTTTTCTGTGCCAAAGTATTCATTCCAAAAGTAAGCCCAGGCCTGTGGGTGTGGCTTACAGGTGGAACACTTGCCTACTCTGGCATTCATGAGGCCCTGGATGTGATCCGCAGTACTACAAAAATAAAACAAGAGTCAACCCCCAAAATGGCTTTATGATAATTACCTTAAATAAATTTTTTCCAAGAGAGGATTTTTGCTTGAATTAACAGGATATATATTCTGGTTTTAAAATGAACTTTTTATCTAAATACTGAGAAAAAACTGCTTATCTCATATTTAAAGGTTTTTCTGGAATTCTAATTTTGTAATAGTACTATAATTCCTTGATATTAAATGAGTTTTTAATAGCTGATAGCTAATAACCCATAAGGTCCTCTAAAGACTTCTAAAACTCCTCTTTTAAAAATATTGACTCTCTTTTCTTGACACCATTGGATTTACTTGTATAATTCCTCAAGTCTCTAGTAAGAATCACCAGTAATAGTTTGTAATATTAGAGATGCTCCTGATGATGTAGTTACTGCAAGTTCAAATGCTAGTTTCTGCACAGCTAATGCATTCTGAATCTGTGCCTGGTCCAAAAAAAGGTTTCCTGCCCAGGACATAGGGTCATATGATGAAATGAACTCTTGAAATACAATTCCTTCCTCTGAGGAACACACTGTATTTCATGAATTTGTGAAACATGCTTATATGTGTTTTATTTCACTGTCTTTACCAATGAATTGCAGTGCATCTCCTATCTAAATAAATTTTCATAGTGCCCTACAAATTGTAATTTAAAATTTTTTGTTACAAAATGTATCATATTTCATTTATTTTAACATAAATGCTACATTATGAGCACTAAAGACCCATTTCAAATTTTAGCACTTCAGTTTATTTTTTAGACTGGAGAGTATTTTCATATTTAATAAGAATGTTTAAAGGGTGAACTATTTAATATCTTATAAAGTGCTTTGAAGTGGTTGAAGCAAAATCCCATGTAACCTTATAAAGTATTAGCATCGTCTTCATCTTATCATCACCCTCCCCTCAAAGATGATAGTGTAATCATTTATTCAGGACTGTCTAGAAGCCACTGGCAAAGTTAGTGCTGGAACTGAGAGTTCCAGGGCTGCCTTTGCTCAGTGATACCAACTTTAGGTCAGGTGGCTAGCTCTTTGGAGAATAGAAATAGAATTCAGATGACCTTGACATTTTGGAGAAGGGCTTAGGTTGTTTTTAAAGGGGCAATTGTTGGAATAATTAAAATACAGGAAACAAAAATCTCTAAGCTTTCTATCCTTTAAATAAACTTTACTAGAGGAAATTACTGTTGGATACATTATAGTTGGAATGTAGTAGGGAAGATTAAGCTTAGTTGTCAGAAAATTACTTCAAATTATACATCTTTTAAACCATGGAATATATTTTGGAAGAAGAAGAATAATCATTTTAGAGTACACAAAAGTTTGGTACACACTTGTAATCCCAGCAGCTTGGGAAGCTGAGGCAGGAGGATGGTAAGTTCAAAGCCAGCCTCAGCAATTTAGTGAGGCCCTAGCAATTTAGCAAGACCCTGTGTAGGGGGAAAAGATTCTTTTCTGGGAACGTGGCTTGGTGGTTAAGTACCCCTCAGTTCAATCCCTACTGCCAAAAGAAAAAAAATAAAGAAGAGTACATAAAAGCTGCCAGGCACAGTGGTGCATGCCTGTAATCCTAGCTAATGGGGTGGCTGAGGCAGGAGGATCTCAAGTTTGAGGCCAGCTCTCAGCAGCTTAGCAAGACCCTGTTTCAAAATAAAATATAAAAGGACTGGGGATGTAGCTCAGTGATAAAGTGCCCCTGGGGTCAGTCCCAAGTACCCCCTTCCCCCAAAAAAGCATTATAGAGGCTTACAACTAGGTATAGGTAGATCTCTTGGAATAGTTATAACAGAAATAGTAGCTTGACCTAATGACCCTAATAAGGATTTTATGGACTTCACTCAGAATCTAATGACTCTACTAGTACTTTGAGCTAGAATAGTCATATCTTTTTATGGTGTTTCTGGTTTTCCCTACATGGTGCCCATGTAAACTAACAAATGTAGAACCAACTGGATCCAGATGAGTTCAAGCAGTATAGCTGCATCTTTGTGGCTTTTAAACTGTGTAAATATATTTTAGAATATTTAGCTCTTCTGAGTCCAGGGATATTGCCAAGAAAGATTACTCCCAGTTTTGGGTCATTGCTTAACATATGTGGCTACCTTCTTCCCGATACATTTTGCTTTCCTTGCCAGCATCCGCACTCCACATCTTTGTTTTGTGTGTGTGTGTGTGTGTGTGTGCAACAGTGTGTTTTATGTTACGTTTCTCTGCTAATCTCATGAGATAGATAGGATTAGGGCAGCTGAAAGAGCGCAGACATTCTTAAATTTGTATTTCTATGACTAACATCTGAGGATTGTTTTCATGCTGGATAAAGCCTCTTATATGTTTAATGCTAATGTTGTTTTTAAATAAAAATGTATTCTTAAACAATGAATTTTAAACTCGGGTTTAAGAAAAATTGCCCATGAGTTTATATGTGTGTATAATTTAAATTTTTAAATTTTTTTGAATCATAAACCTGAAATACAGAAGTGCTATTTTACTTTGAATATAAAAGGGGAAGGGAATGATCACTTTACCTAAGAATTACTCGTTTGTTCACTAATTTATGGAAATATTCTCTTCAAAAGCAGGTTTCTCTAATGCAATTGAAGTACTTGCTTTTATAGATGTAAATCATATAATATATAATACATATAGCCATTTCAGGTATGCTGGTTGGTGCTTGAGTGTTTTAATTAAAATATTCAATAAAAAGCAGTAATTTGCAGCATAAAAATATGAGCTGCTCTATTGTTTATTAGGGTACTTCTAAGAAATATTATAAGAGTGGTCATAAAATTTATGAAATGGAACTTTTTAAATATTAAGTAAATATGTGATAGTGATTCATTCTAATTTGATAATGAACCCAGTGCAATATCTGCAGTGGTCATTTTGCTAGAGGATTTTTTTTTTTTAATTTCCAGGTTTTAATTACAACAAGGACAGCTGCTGATAATTTTAGCACTCAGTATGTTTTAGATGGCAGTGGCCATATATTTTCTCAAAAACCTTCACATCTTGGTCAAGGTAAGAAAATAGCATTATAGCATTCTTTACCTTTCCTTTCTTGTTTGTTAAAAGCAGCATTACTGCTTGAATTCAAGTGTGTTGTTTTAGCCTTGCTCCTGATGAAGTCTAGTTAACTTTCAAGTGAACAGTCGACCTTCAGCTGGGGATGTAGTTCAGTGGTAAAGAGCTGGGGGTGCTTGCCTAGCATGCATAAGGCCCAGAGTTTCATCCCTCGTGACACAAACACACACACACACAGATTTTGTTTTGTGTGTGTGTGGTGCTGAGAATTGAACCCAGGGCCTAGTGCATGAGAGACAAGCACTCTACCAACTGAGCTATATCTGTAGTCCAACAAAGATTAAATAGTTAAAGAGGAGTTCTCAAGAGGAACTGTGTGAGAAACTGGGCAATTGTGTAGATTACTTTTCTAAAAAATCTGTAAGAGCATTTCTTTTCCTATTGGATCACCAGTGTTGTCTTTCCATATGAAGGATAATATTTTATTGAAACACCTAAAATGCCATTTAATTTTGTAATAATGATAAACCATAGCAGTAAGATATTTTGGTTAAATAACTTAAAAATGTATTTGTTTATTCATGGAATAGTTCAAAGATGCTCAGTTTAAACAATTATCAATTTACTAGTAAAGTTCTTTTATCTAGTACCCATACTCACTCTCTCCCTTTCTACATTTATCATTTTCAGGCAGATGAATTCATTATGTTCCTATTAATAATCCTTTGTTGTTGTATACATTTGTGTATAAATTTACTGAATTTTAATTGATATTTTAAGCTTTAAGTTTCTCTAAAAACTATTTATTTCTAAGAGGGGGAAAAAAAATCTCTTTAGGCCTAAGTTTCATCTATCCTTTAATCTTTTTATACTCTCATTTCTGGTAATGGAATGATTAAAGTTAAGAGATGTTATCTCTAAGTTCTGATATTGAATTTGTTCACTGTATTTCTTGCTTTATAAATCTGTAGCACAGTTATTGATTACTTTTGCCTATTAGGAATATTAATTAGGAATATTAATATTATTAATATTATCAGGAATATTAATACTGTATCCATGTAGAGAAAAGTTAATAGGAGCTCCTAAGAAAGCACACTAAATTTCTCCTCATTTATTCAGTTAATGAAAATGAGCAGAAATCTAGCAGCTATTTAGTTTCATGTATAATAATAAGTATTATACACTTTTCAATTTAAAGTAATAGATTGTAATACTTTTACTATGTGTTGAAGGTTTGGACAAAGGGAAGGCATTTTTTGAAATTATGGTCCCTTTCCAGAAATGCTGTGACCTCCACGTCTTTGGAGTTCAAATTAGGAAACCATTAGGAGGTATTTGAGTAGCTGTCCAGTAGAGTACTTTGAAGTAACCTAGTCACCTTATAAAACTTAAAAGTATTTATTTTTATCTTTGTAGTAACCAGTCTAATCTGGATGGCCAGTGGCTCTGTATCACCCATACTTCTCATGCTTTTATGTATTCATCTCCATGGGAACTATGAAATAACAATCCTTAAATATGGACTCCACCTGATCTTTGCCCTTTTGCTGGCTGATTTTTCTTTGCCTGCTGACCTCAGTCTTCTACCTTTAGTGAGATCAGGTACAAATATTAAAGAGTTTTTATAGTCAATAAATTAATCTTATTTTCTTTAGCCAATTCCTTTTATCTTAAGAAACAACATACTTGAAAGGTCAATAGTTATAGGTTGCCCTTCACAACTCACTTTTTTTTACCTAATTACAGTTGATTAGGAAAAAACAACAGCAAAAATAAAAATTTTAATTTCAAATTGCTGTAGGTGGACATATTATAAAAATACACATTCTCAAAAGCCTTTTACATTTATGTTGCTTACTGCTGATAGTTTTTGAGTGATTGAATCACAGACTCACATTTCACCAGCTGTCATTAGCTTCCATTTAAATATTTTCTGTGTAAGATAAAACTACAGTTCAATCATCCTAATTTATACCTGTACATTTAGGGTTCTTGTAAATTAATTTCTGCTGTGGGTGAACATTGTTACTTAGCAGTAACTCTTCATATCATCTGATAGAATGACACCTATAGATAGTACAACTGCAGTTGTAGTAATGACTTAAAACAGAATCTTATTTAGGCATTGGAAAACTTGTAACCCCTTTAAAAAATGTGTTTTAAAATAGTTTACTGGAAATACCAGTTCTGTTTTTTCTGGGTGTTAATTTAGCCATTTAAATGATTTATATGTTTAATAGCATATCATTTTAATTGCCCTTTCTTCTGTTAATTTCCATTTTAGAACACTGTGCCTGATTTTTAAAAACTTGCAATGAATGTAGAAATAAGTTTCCATCTTTTAAATTCCTTTACTAAGAAGACTGACAATTCTTTTAGTTACTTCTTTTTCTGTCCTCACTTTTCTTGACTAGTGTCCCCTAGTACTTCTGCCTTAGGTGTTTCTCTAATATCAGAATGGGTATATTTCAAGTACTATTTGAAAGAAAGGAGATCACCAGAGTACAAGCTGGGGACCAAAGGGGAAAAATTGAGGAATCACGTTATGCTTGAATATATCAATGTATGTATGAATATATCACAATGTACTCCAATTTTAACTGTAATGCATCTATTTTTAAAAAAGTAAGTAGAAGAAAGACCAATAGAGTAGAGGAAGGGAATCAGAGGTGGAAGGAGGGAGGGAAATAGGAAGTTCTAGGGATTGAAATGGAGCAAATTATGTTATATGCATTTAAGAATATGTCAAAATGAATCCCACTATTATGTGAAACTATAATGCACTAATAATCTGAAAATAGTACTTTTATCAGGGAATTTTTTTTCTAGTCTGTTATTAGCATAAAGCATCATGTTTTAAAATTTCTGATATGTGAGATTGTGTATGTGTTGAAAGAGCTTTTCATCTTAATTGAAGGCTACAACTTTATTAAATAATTCATGAATACTTTCTGATATATCAAGTACTCATACCTTTACATTAGGAATATAACTAGCCTCCTTTATAAGGGGCATAACTTAGGGTCATGTAAACATAAAACATGACTGCAATTTAATTTTGGTGTTTGAAGAATGCACTCAAGTTAGAGACCTGAGCAGTTCTCTAGTAAAGTACGATAGTATAACTGTGGCTTCCTCCTTATTGGCCAATATTACTTGATACTTTTATTTTTAAGAATACACATTTCATTTGGAATAAGAAAAGTCCTTTCCATTAATAACTTTTATTTACACATGTAATTTGCATCTTATTACTAATTCTTCTTTTACTCTGAGAATACTTTTAGGTGCTAAAGTAATAATTTGTTGTTATAAAGATAGGTATAGTGTAGTTGATGAGATAGAACATTTAAAAATCAATAAACAATCTTTTCACTTTCATAAATACCTTTACATTTTGGCTTGTCAGTTTCTTCTTTCCTTTTGTCTTTTCATAGCTATAATAGATATCATTATATTTGTCTCTGGGAACTCACAGAATAGTAAGAAATACAGATGAGTAAATAAATAATGATAGTAAAATGAAATCACCAGTTGCCTAGAGGGAGGTTAGTAAGTTTTTCAGAAAAGATGACATTTGAATTTAAAGATGATTAGGTAAGACCATGTGAGAAGCTGCCGCTTTGGCACACGCCTATAATCCCAGTGGCTTGGGAGGCTGAGGTAGGAAAATTTAAGTTCAAAGCTAGCCTTAGCAACTTAGGAAGGCCCTTAGCAACTTAGTGAGACCCTGTCTTAAAATTAAAAAATCAAAGAAAAAAAATGGGCTGGGGATGTGACTCAGTGGTCCCTGGTACTAACAAACAAAAAAGAAAACAATAACAAAAAAAAAACTCCACACATTGGAATATGATCTTTCTGCAAGAGAAGAATAGTGAATATAGATGATAACATTGCTGCCTTTGTAGCAATGTAAAGAAAAAAAACCCATAATTTTAAAGACTTGCAGTTGTCTTTAAACTTGTTGAAGAACTGTATTACTGAAAAATTTCAATGAGTTGAATTCAAGAGAAAGAATATGCTCTTTTCTAGAGAGGAAGTGATTGATGATCACTTCCATTCCTGGGAGCATTAACTGTGTGTGGAGACACAGATGACAAAGGAGCAAGTCTACCATGGTTGAGGGATCTTGTATGGCACTAGCAGAAACCAGCTGAACTTTTAATAGCCCCATGTTAACTGACAATGACAGATTGCAATATGGGATCCTCAGACACAGAGCTTGTTTGCTCCACACAGAATCTTTTTCTTTTCCCCCTTTTTTTTGTTATTGTTCTAATTAGCTATACATAACAGCAGAATGCATTTTGACTCATTGTACACAAATGGATCACAACTTTTCATATTTGTGATTGTACGTGATGTAGTCACACCATTCATGTACCTAGGGTAATGATGGAGCAAATTATATTCTACCATCTTTCCAGACTTTTGCTGAGTAAGCAATGATGAAGAAATATGGGACTGAGCTAAAGGAAGAAAGATCTTAAAACCTTTCTGGAGGAAAAGGTCTGATTCTATCCTTGAGACATTGGAGACCAGATGCAAAGTAGAACTAAATAAAGGGTCATCTCAGTGCAAGAAAGATAAATTCCTAGATTGAAGCGATCGGTTCTTCACTCTACCTGCGTGACTGAAAACAAAGACTTATCCTTAGGGAAAAATATTATCTTCTTCAGTATTATTCTTCTGTACACAATGTCTGGCAAAAATTAAAGTTTTGAGGGACATGAAGAAAGGAAAACTGACATCCATAATCAATGCTATAAATTGCTATTACTTATAGCATTACAATTTGTTACAAGCAAATTTAGTATAAAAATGGTATAAGCAATTTTTTAAATTAATTTATTTATTTTAGGTATATAGAACAGCAGAATGGATTTTGATTCGTTGTACACAATTGCAGCACAACTTTTCATTTCTCTGATTGTACACGATGTAGCATCGCATCATATGTGCAGTCATACATGTACCTAGGATAATAATGTCCATCACATTCCACCATCTTTCCTGCAATAAGCAAATTTAGAGATTACCCAGATATTTGAAATAACAGACAAGAACTTTAAAAGCAACTACTGTGTAAAATAACTTTGAAGGAATTGTGGCCCAAATCATTAATAAAGTGGAGAATTTCAGTTGAAAAATGGAAAATAAAAAAGAACCAAATGAAAATTCTAGAATTAAAAATAATACTATGTCTGAAGAATTCAATGGATGGGTGCTATAATTTGGACCTGGAATGTCCCTAGAAGCCTAGGGGGGTGTGGCTCAGTGGTTAAAGACTAGTCCCAGTAGGAGGCCTTCTGGTCATTTGGAGTGTGCCTTTGAAGGGGATTTGGGGACCCCATTCCTTTCTCTTCCTCTGTCTTTGCTTCCCAGCTCCTAACAGGTGAGCAGCCTTGGCCATGTGCTTTTGCATGATGTACTGTCTTACAACAGCCCCAAAAGCAGAGTGCCCAGCTGACTATGGACTGAAACCTCCAAAATTATGAACCAAAATAAATCTTCTTTTTAAATTGATTATTTTAGGTATTTTGTTATAGTAATGAAAAACTGACTAAGGCATAAAATTGATATTGAGAAGGGGGCTCACAAACCTTTCAGTGCAGAAAAGCCTTTGGAATTGGTTCACAGAAAAAGTTTGGAGGGGGGATGGGGCTGTGGCTCAGCAGTAGCACACTTGTCTGGCATGTGTGAGGCACTGGGTTTGATTCTCAGCACCTCATATAAATAAATAAAATAAAGGTCTATCAACAACTAAAATAAAATATTTTTAAGAAGAAGTTTGGAAGATCAGACTAGAGAAAGCCTACAATGCTGTTAGTGGAGCTTAATGGTGATCCTGGTGAGGAATCAGATCAGAATCCTGATAGAAGTATAGACAGTAAAAGTTATGCACATGAAATTTCAGATAGAAATAAAGACTTGAGAATTTCACTAAAGCCTACCTACATTACACTCTGGCAAAGGATTGGCTGCATTATGTCTCTGCCTAAGACTGTAGGAGGTAGAGCTTAAAGGTGATGGACTCATTTATCTGGTAGAGGAAATTTCAAGGTAGCATAGTATTCAGGCAGTGTCATAAGTATTACTGGTGGCTTTTAGCCAGATTTTACTGTGAGAATTGGTAGCAAAGAAGAGATAAGCAGAAAGATTTGGAAGATTTGCAGTTTTCCATGAAAAGAAGTATGTAAAGTTTCAGCCAGGGAAGGTATGATTGATGTAGAGATTAGAAAGTGAAGATCTTTGCATTGGGGCAATATGAAAAATGTCTAGAAAGAATCTAAGAAGTCAGCAAGGTGACAAGCATCGTAACATCCAAGGTGTAGAAATGGAAATTTGTTTCAAAGACTTTTCAGAGCAAAGTTTTTTGAGAATTGGGTGTTCTGCTCACTCAGGACTGCCCAAGCCAGCAAAGCTCTCAGAAGCACTACAGCTGTGATTCAGACTGTCAAGGACAGCTTGTGCTGTTGGCAGACCTTGGTGTCATTCACATGATGCTGGTTTTGCAGGTGTTCAGGATGCAAGAGTTATGGGGTTATGGAGGCTTCCACTGAGATTGCAAAGGAAAGCCTTGGGAGGACAGGAGATACGGGGCAGGATCTGAGATCCTGCAGGCAGCCTTGGGCAGGGCATTGTGTAGTGAAGCTGTGAGAGTGAAGCCAGAGCTGCAAAGGAAGTTGGAGATGTTAGGAATGTAAATTATTTTCATAGAGGAGAGGGAGACAAGTTTTTTCAAATAGTCATCATTTCTGAGAAGGAAAAAAACCTGTTTTCTGTTTGGAAGAACCAGGCTTTGAGAAGTATTTAGAGATGAATTCTTGTAAGATGTGAAACTCAAACTGAAATTTAAAGATTGGTAAAGGAGTTAATCATGCAAAGGGTGGGAGAAAGAACATGTGCAAAAACCCTGAGGTGGGAAGAAGTCTGAATTACTAGAGGAACAGAATAAAGGAGACTGGTAGGAGAGGAGATAGCTATGGGCCAGGTTACCTAGGACCTTGTGAGCTTTATCCCTCACCTTTCCCAACTGTTTTATCCAGTTAACCAATGTTACTAATAATCGTTTGAAACATTGAGCCCCAGACTCTTTCATGTCATAAATCCTTATTTAACAGTTAAATTGTCAATTTCATCCACATGACCATCTTCTGTTTACATGCAGCTTTTAAGATTCCTTGTCACCAAATTAATTTTCACAGCTTCTCTCATTATACAATCTATTTTGCAGTTCGGGATGGGGCTACTGTGGATTCAACCCAGATTAAACCAAGGGGCATTTGACCGCAGAGCCACATCCCTAGCCTTTTTTATTCTTTATTTTGAGACAAAGACTCACTAAGTTTCTTAGAGCCTTGCCAAGTTGCTGAGGCTAGTTTTGAAATTGCAATCCTTCTGTCTCAGCCTCCTGAGTTGCTAGAGTCGCTGGGAATATAGGTGTGTCACCACATCTGGCTAAAAGCTGTATTTTCATGTCATTATTATTTGGTTAGAGATTATCTTCCATTATTTTCATCATATGTGCCTAAGTGATATACTTGTGAATTTTTGCAAGTTCAAAAATGTCTTCATTTTTGTCTTTATTACTAGAGGATGGGTGTTTTCTTGATTTTTTTTTTTTTTTTAACGGGGGAGGTGGTTTACTGTAGATTGAACCCAGGGCACTTAACCACTGAGCCCCATCCCCAGCCCTTTTTATATTTTATTTGGAAACAGGGTCTTGCTGAGTTGCTTAGGGCCTTGCTAAATTGCTAAGGCTAGTTTTGAACTAATGATCCTCCTGCCTAAGCCTCCCGAACCACTGAGATGATTACAGGCATACATGCTTGGATGTTGGTTTTGTAGTTTCCCCTTAATCAGGTGGAGATTGTCTTGTGGTACCACAGGTAAGAAGTTTTATGTTAAATTTTCTTGTAAGAAATGTTTTTTTCTTTCTGAAAGTTTGTAAATTTTCTTCATGTTCATAAAATTTAGGATTTCCATTGGAAAGTGATTTTTTTCTTTAATTTAAAAATATTCTTCCCTGTAATGAAGCAAACTCTTAAAGTTTGCGTTCAAGCTTTTAAACTAGAAAATTTTCTTCTTAGTTTCATTTCTTTTTCTCCTTGTAGAACTCCTGATTTTATTTTAGAGTTCACAAGTCTTGTATTACTCTTGTGATTTCCATGTCTTTTTGTTTTTTACCCTTTGTCAAAAGCAATAGGAGGGCTGGGGTTGTGGCTTAGTGGTAGAGCACTTGCCTCACATGTGTGAGGCACTGGGTTTGATTCTCAGCACCACATATAAATAAATAAATAAACAAACAAATAAATAAAGGTCCATCGACAACTAAAAAAATACATATATATTATATATAAAAGCAATAAGACAATTGTAGTTGTTTTAAGCCTTTTTAATTCCAATTCAGTATAAGAAACACGTTTTATATAACAAGCCAGTTCATAAAATCTAAACAAACATTTCATGAAATAATATGTATCATTACTATTGTGATGCACTTCATTTTTTATTCTAGTTTATTCTTATTTTACTTAAAAAAGAAAGAAAGATGCTAGTTGCTGTATGCTAAATCAGTGTTTCTCAGCTATGGGCAGCACCCTCACCCTGTCAGGAACAATTAGCATATTTGTAGACATATTTGATTCTCAAAATTGAGGTTGCCACTGGCATCTAGTGGATAAGAGGCCAAAGATGTTGCTAAACATTCTATAATGCATGGAATGGTTGCTGACAACAAATCATCTGATCAAATGTTATTAGTGCCAAGTTTGCCTGCAATAAATTGATGTTTTGAAAAACTTGTAACAGAAAAGAGGTTTATTTACTTCATAGTTTGTGAGGTTCCAGGGCGTGGCACTGGCATTAGCTTGGCTCTGGTGAGAACCTCAGAGTGGATGCCATCACAATGGCAGTAGCATATGCAGACAGGAAGCCAGAGACTAGGGAGGGGTCCAGCTTTTCTATAAAGACTTTCCCTTGAGAGAACAATTGAGGTCTCAAGAGAACTTCCTGAATTCTTAAGGCGGTGTTCTCACTAACTTAATGACCTCCCATTAGACCCTACCTCTTAATGGTGCAACATTAAGGGCCAGACTTCCAACACATGAACTCTTGAGGGGCAAACCATATCCAAAACATAGTGTTTCACCTTCCAAGATTCATATCTGTCACACAGTAAAAAAAAAATACAGCCATTTAATCTCCAAAATCCCCAATGTCTTTTAACTCTTCCAGTATCACTTAAAAGTCCAAAGTCTCATCTGAGACTCAAAGTAAATTCCCAGCTGTGAGCCTGAAAAGTTAAGAAACAAGTTTCATACTCTTAAAATACAAAGGTAGGATAAAGATAGGATGAACATTCATATTCCAAAAGGGAAGAGTAATCTGGTAGAAAGCAGTAATCATCCCAAATTAAGACCCAAGCCCAGTAGGGGTGACATTACATCTTAAAGCTATAATTCTAATATCCTGCACATACTTCAGTGGTGGGAAGCCTCAGGCAGCCCTGGTCCTACAAGTTCGCTGGACATAGGCCACATAACTACTCTTTGGGGCTACCCACAGATGTTTGATCTTTTCTTAGGCTTGTTGCCCTTTGTTTCTTGGGTCCTGGCTGTGGGCCTAGTTCAACTAGGCATTCTCCCAGTGGAGAATCTTTGCCAGGGCCCAGACCCTGTAGCAAACTTCTGCCTGGCCTTCAAGGCTTTTTTTTGAAATCATGGTGGAAGCCGCCACAACTCTTACATTCTGTGTATCTGCAAAATAAGCAATACCTGGATGCCATTAAGATCTGCAACAGACCAAGTGGTACCTAGGCCCACTTGAACCATACCTGCAGCCAACAGACACTTCACTGGCATATAAGGCAACTCCAGTTTCCAAAAGAATCCTCATTTCCTTCTGAAACTAATTGCCTAATCTCCTGGTCTTTGGAACTATTTCCAGAATTGCCTGTAAGGTGCTGCTTTCTAAAAAAATTCTATGCTTTTTCTAGTTTGCTCTTTAGACTCTTTCAATATACCCATTTCCCAGTTCCAAAGCTGCTTTTTCACATTTTATAGTCAGAGCAGTGACCCTATTCCTCAGTACCAATCTGTTTTTATTGCTGCACAAAAAATCCCAAGGCTGGGTAACTTGTAAAGAAAAGAAATTAGTTTACAGATTGAAAAGTTCAAGGGCATAGTACCAGCATTGGCTCAACTCTGCTGAGTAACTTATGGTGAATGGGCATCACAGTGCTTCTGCACACGTAGGAGGGAGAAATCATATGGCAAGACAGGAAGCCAAAGACATAAATTGAATTTTTGACTTCTCAATGGTTTTCAACTCTGCATTCAACTCTGGGAAAAGTTATGTCATAAGTCTAAGATGAATTGGTGACTAGTAGTTTAAAAACATGCACTTGCTGGGTGTGGTGGCCCATGTCTGTAATCTCACCCCTTAGGGAAGCTAAGTAAGCAGGATTGCAAATTTGAGTCCAGCCTGGGCAATTTAGGAATACCCTGTCTCAAAGTAAAGTTAAAAGGGTTGGGGTATTGCTCAGTAATAGAGCACTTGCCTAGCATGTGTGAGACCCTTGGTTTAGTTACCAGTACTGCAAACAAAAGAAAACAACCACACATGGCATCTATTATACATGACAAACTTCTAGTCCTAATTTCACAGTTATTTTTTTAAACAAAAGCTTTATTTATTTTTGTATTGGGGATTGAACCCAGGGGGTGCTTTACCACTAAGCTATAATTCCAGTCCTTTTTATTTTTTATTTTGAGACAGGGTCTTTCTAAGTTGCTGAGGGTCTTGCTAAGCTGCTGGGGCTGGCCTTGAACTTTTGATCCTCTTTTTTCAGTCTCCCAAGTTGTTGAGATTACAGGCCTGTGCCTCCATGCCTGGCTAAAAAAACTATTAACCTAATAGTTACCATTGTAAATTTTTATACCTACGTTCAGTTTTTTAGTTAAATTAATTCTTAAGTTAAAAATAATTCTTTTGTTTGATTATGCTGTGTTATGAATGTTTGTTATTGAAGATGAGGCAAATTAAACCAGTTTAGTAGATATTAATTCTGTTTGGAATTAAGGTTACCACATATGATATGTAGTCTTGTACCACCGGTATGTTGTACTTTAAAGTACAGAACAAACAACATCCTCAAGTGGTTTGAATATTAGCAGATTTTTAAAGATACTGCATTCTGGTAAGCCCATGTTTCTCTGTAGTGATAGAAATAAAATTATTGTTGTTTAGACTACATAGAAGAGATTATATTAAGCAAGTTACAAATAGAACAGTCAAGGAGGAGATCAAAATGGTTTGCAAAGGTGTATCTTCTTTGGGTTCCCAATCTTAGAGGAGAATTAGCATTTAGCAATAGAAAGGAGTAATTATGGATTATAAGTGAATTTGAAGATCCGTAAAGTTTTTTTCCAAATCTCAATATTCTTTCCTCTTATCTACCAACAGGTACAACTGTAACAGCTTTGAGATTATTTAAGAATCTACCTGTAAGAAAACAATTTTACTCCACCGCTAAAAAATGTAAAGATGAAATTAAAAAGGTCCAGGATCTCCTCATAAGTTATGGTATCCTTAGACCAGATTTAAGGATTGTTTTTGTACATAATAAGGTGAGCACTATTGAATTTTATAAAATTCTTTAAATATACAATATAACAAAGGAATAGTGTATATTATATAAATCAGATATCTAGTATGGACTGAATGTTTACCGTCTCTTTCACTACCCAATTCATTTCTTGAAAACTTAATCACCAGTGTGATGGTTTTAGGACATGGAGCCTAGTGCATGAGGGCAAAGCATTCATGAATGTTGTTAGTGCTCTTATAAAAGAGACTCCAGAGAGCTGCCTTTCATCTTCTACCATCTCAGCACACACAGTGAACCAGGAAGTTGGTCCTCACCAGACTTTTAGGATCTTGGATCCTAGCCTCCAGAACTGTGAGAAATGCATTTCTTCTATTTACAAGCCACCTGGTTTATAGTGTTTTGTAATAGTAGTCCCAAGGAAATACATAATCTTTTTTCAAAAATATAGTTCACGTTCATTTATTTTTATCTTTGTTATATAAAAAATCTATAACTTGTCAACTAATATCTGTATGAAATCTGATTAAACCTTATATTCTTAATATATAAGACCAGAGATTCCCTAAGTAGACTTTTTTATCCAAGAAATTCTTGAGCACTCCCTTTTATGAAAAGCTAAGATAGACTCTGAAAATCTTGAAGATGGGTAAGACTTGTTCTGTTCCTTTAAAGAATGTACAATTCAGTGACATGTTTTTACCTTCTAAACTGTTTTGTTTGTTTGTTTGTTTTTGTTTTTTTAAGGAAACTACCTCATTTCTTTCCATTTTTTAGAGCAGGGCTTATAAGGAAGGGATTTCATCTTATTGCTTGATGAATTTTATGGGAAAGAAAGTTTCATGTATTTTCTGATTTTTTTTTTTTTTTTTACAAAATTCCACATGAGCACCTTGAAATATTTAGTGGAAGGAGAGCAGAATCACACAGCAGCATGGAAGCCTCAGAGGAATAAAGAATTAACACTTGCAAGCCAGGATCTATCTAGGTGCATTAATCTCCTGTAATCCTCACAATAACAACCAAGTGAGGTGGACATTTTATCAATTTTGCAGTTGTCCTCTGAGCTGAACTCCAAGAGGTTCCATACTTTGCTTAGTGTTGAGCAACTAAAAAGTTGTTGAAATGGAATTTGAAACTTAGCATGCCTTGGAGTGCAGGTTCTGTACACTCTATTGTGTTCTCTTCCCAGTCTTTTTTAAAAAATATAAATTTATTTATTTATTTTAATTAGGTATATATGACAGCAGAATGCATTTTGATACATTGTACACAATTGCAGCACAACTTTTCATTTCTCTTATTGTACATGATGCTAGATGTAGCATTGCACCACATGTGCAGTGATACATGTATAGAGGTGGTAATGCCCATCACATCCCATCATCTTTCCTGCCCCCATACCCACTCTCTTCAGCACTCTCCCCTTTGCCCAGTCACATTTCCTCCCCCGCACTCCATTATGGATCAGCATCCACTTATCAGAGAGAAGATTTGGCCTTTGGTTTTTGGGGATTGGCTTACTTCGCTTAGCATGATATTCTACAACTTCCTCCAATTACTTGCACATACCATAATTTTTTCTCTTTTAATGTTGAGTAATATTTTATTGTGTATATATACCACAGTTTCTTTATCCATTCGTCTATTGAAAGGCATTTAGGTTGGTTCCACTGCTTAGCTATTGTGAATTGTGCTGCTATAAACATTGATGTGGCTGTGTTACTATAGTATGCTGATTTTAAGTCCTTTGGGTATAGACCTAGGAGTGGATAACTGGGTCAAATGATGGTTCCATTCCAAGTTTTCTAAGGCATCTCCATACTGCTTTCCAGAGTGCTTGCACCAATTTGCAGTCCCACCAGCATAGTCCTTTTCCAAATTTCAGAATACTTAAAATAACTTTGTGTGAGATAAACAGCATTATCTCTGTATGAGGAATGAAGCTCAGAGTGATCAAAGGAATTGTTTCACATTTTGTACTAAGTAATAGTGCTGAGGTCAGAAGCTATTTTGTCTCAGTTTCTTTCTATTCTATGTCTTTTTTACTCATTTATCAAGAAGATTCTTTATCTTCTGACTTTAAGCCATGGTGAAATGTTTATGATCAAAATCTTTGGTCATATTAAAAGAAAAAAATTAAGACTAGTCAGCCACCTGTTCCTGCTGGCATAGAGCTCAACCAAATGATACCTTGAGATCCCTTTCAGCTCTACCATGGTATGATTCCTCAGGATGTTGATGGATAGAGGCTGGTCCTGCTAATATAAATAACCCTATGACCTCTTGATTCAGAAGACGTTAAGTAATTAAAAGTTAAATGTCTCCAAGTTACGAAAACACCAAGATCAGAAGAAACATGGTAATCAGAAAGGGAAAACAGATGAAAAGGCTAACATGTGAGTAGAGATAGGAATTAGTTGTTCGTGAAAGAAAAGTGATTACTAAAAAGTTTTGAATGATAGACAAAATAGGATTATTGCCTCACATAATGAAAATGAGTATATCAGAATTATTTGGTTGAGATCTTGAGTTTTTATTCATTTGAAGTCAATATAAGTCTTTTAAATTTTAAAGTTTAGTGTGGGTGTTTTCTGCTGAGAATTGAAAGTAGTATTTTGTAATACACTATATTTTAGTATTTTCAGAGGACACTATTGTCTGAACTTATATTAAACAAATGCCTTTATGGCCTTCAATAATTTCTTATGCAGTTCAACTTCTGGAGCGTATGTTGAATGTTATACTATGAAAGTAATAAAAGATTATCAAAAGTCTTACAGTAAAATTGAACATTAGCTATTGTTATGCAAGGAGACAGACCATGGACTGAATGAGAACAGGCTTTTTATTTTTGAGCTCTTTTGTTGTTAGTACAGATTATTATTCTAATTTTTTGTTTTTCAGTAGTCCTGTTGTGCCTCAAGAAATGTTAAACTATATTGTTGAAACTTCCAAAATAGTATTGACATGTTATCCTCAGTCTCTTTAAATGTTGAATCCTTCAGTGCTCTTAGTCTTTTTCTTTTAAACATTGTTAACTTTCATCACTCCTTCATATGCTGTTGGGAAGGATGTTTTGGTCTTTGTTTAAAATTTAAACATGATAATATTGATGTCTTTATTTTTTTTTTCTGCTTTAGAAATCAACAATCATACTGCCCATAATATGAGAAGTCCTATTGCTATTTTGATAACTTGGATTAGATAGTGTTCCTTCTTTTTATGAAGGTTTAACCTGCCAAGACATTCTTTGAATACTGATAATGTTGATGTTCTTGCCAGTATGGTTATGTTAGAAAGAGGTATTTTTCTTCTTTCATCACCATGTTCCTTGAAAGCATATTGAATAATGAGACGGCTAAAGGAAAATAATTTACAAGTGCATTCAGTGAGTTTATTTAAAGTAGATATTATGTGGAGAATTGCTGGAGCCATTCCTTAAATGAACATTATAGTTTTCAGGTTTAATGTAAAAACTGAATCCATGTGAGGTCTTGCTATGTATATTTTCATTTATAAAGTAGTTATTAGAATTTTTCTCTATGGTATTATCTGAAACCAATTTAGTATTCTTAGCTATTTCATATAAACATAAATAATTTTGTGGAACTCTAAAACATAATGTTAAATTTGTGATTTTAAATAAGGGCTATTCTCATACTTCGTAATCATTGATTTTAAGTTTTTCTTAAAATATTTGTAGTTTTAGACACTGTTTTGAAGTTTTGTTTTGTTTTGTAGTGCTGGGGATTGAATCAGGGCCTCAGACATACAAAACATATGCTCTACCACTGAGCTACATCTCCATTCCTGAATTTTGTTTCAATAATTAGAAGACCACTGGTGTTGCAAAAGCTGAATTGGATGTATTGATTTCAGAATTGTTTAACTATTAAAAAAGAGAGTGACATGATTCAAAGAATGGCTTCCTGCCAGGTGTGATATCACACACCTGTAATCCCAGCAAGAGGATCATGAGTTCAAAGCCAGCCTCAACAGTTTAGCCAGGCCCCAAGCAATTTAGTGAGTCTCAATTGCTTGTCTTAACCCTTTCTCAAAATAAACCTAAAAAGGGCTATGGATGTGGCTCAATGGTTAAGCACCCCTGGATTCAATCCCCCCACCCCAAAGAAAAAGAATGGCTTCCCTCTCATTTCCACCTCCGTGTTACACAAGAGTGTTAAGACTTATTGGAATCAGTTCTTGTTGTGTGTATTTGTGTTTTGAGGTCTGATATAATGATAACACTACTTTGAAGGGTTGAATATTTCTGATTTCAGTCAGTCTGGGAAGAGGCAAGGACCTTAGCCAGAAATACAAAAACAGAAACCTGGTTTGATTGTGAAATGTAGTAGCCTCATTTCTAGGTTTGGTTTTCCAAGTCTCTAGGAAAACACTATTTTGTGTTTTGGATTTGGAAACACAAAAAATTTGGATTATAAACTGAAGATTAATAAGTGGTATCTTATCTATATCTGCTTCTTATAATATTCATTTTTTTATGGTATGCTTTGTTCATTGTATCCTCTTTGCCTTTTACTCAAAGCATTTTCAGTGTCCCACCTTTGTTTCAGTTGTGCTATGGGGAGGGGAGTCAAGGAGAAAAGTCTTTGCCACAATTGAACCAGTGTTAAAGGTCACCCCCATCTCACCAAAGTTGAAGCAGTACAATCAGAGATTCCAAGTTAGGACCGAGACTCAACTGTTGCTTCCTTAAGAAGAAATTATTCTTACAGTGCCAATCTAGAAAGTTTGGGTGGGTTATTTTTTTCTTTAATTGATGTAGGTGGCTGTTTCTTCAAATATATTAAAAGGTTAGCTGAATATCAATCATGCTTTTTTTAATTTTAAAGGAGATTTTTGCTACTTTCAATAACTAAATTTATCAAATGGTTTTCATGTCTTTTGTTATGCTAATTTCTTTTACTTTCACCTTAATTCTTTGGAATATTGTATAGAAAAGTATATATAAAGACACATAACAAACTTATAAATGTAGTTGGTTTCTGAATTTTATGT